CACTGTAGACTTCATTGTCGAGCTGCCCGAGGCCCATGGGTATGACGCGGTTATGGTAGTGGTCGACGCCCTCGGAAAGCGCGCCCACTTCACTGAGTGCCATACGACAATAGACGCGGTCGGAGCTGCCCGCTTGTACTATCGGAATGTCTGGAGGCACCACGGAACCCCCGAGAAGTACATTTCGGACCGTGGCTCGCAGTTCATCGCTGACTTCACGCGAACTCTGGCGCTTAATTGGCGTCAAACCGGCTACCTCCACGGCTTACCACCCGCAAACCGACGGACAAACCGAGCGCGTTAACCAAGAGCTCGAGCAGTACATCCGGATCTTCACCAACTACCAACAAGACGACTGGGACGAGCTTATCCCTGCCGCTGAGTTCGCCTATAACAACCACGTTCACTCCTCCACTCAACAGGTACCCTTTATGACTGATACTGGTCGGCTCCCCCGAATGGGTTTTGAGCCAGGCGCCCGCTCAGAGTTGGAGTCGGTGAACGAGTTTTCGCGATCGGATAGCAAACGGCGTCTCCGAGGCAAAGGGCCGCTCGTTAAAGCCAAAGACGAGTATAAGCGGTACTACGATCGGAAACGTTCGGACGCTCCGAATATTCAAGTTGGTGATAAGGTTTGGTTGGACGCCTCTGACATTAGAACGACTCGGCCCTCCGAGAAGTTCTCCCACAAGCGCCTTGGACCGTTCAAGGTGCTCGCAGAGGTTAGCAAAGGTGCCTACAAGCTAGACCTCCCCCGCGTTACTCCAAGCTCCACCCCGTCTTCCCCGTTGTTAAGCTCGAGCCCGCTCAGGGACGACCCCCTTCGATGGACGACCCGGCTACGACGAACCGCCCCCCGAACTAGAGGACGGAGTTCCCGAATGGGAAGTCGAGGAAATCTTGGATGCCAGGATAAGGTATAAGCGTCTTAACTATTTCGTCAGGTGGAAAGGCTATGATGCTTCACACGACTCGTGGGTTCGGTTCGACCGTGTCTTTGCGCCACACAAGATTGCGGACTTCTATCGGAGATACCCGGGTAAACCACGGCACATCGCCTCAGCAACCTTCGACTCGCTGCCCTTCCGTATTATGCGTCGGGACGCCGCATTCAAAGGGGGGGTGATGTCAGGGGAACCCCCGCTTGGCCTCCTTCGGACCCCTCGAACGCATCCGAGGCGCATCCGACCGGCGCCCCCTCGGACGCTCCGACCCACCCCGACCATCGTCCACGGCCTCCTTCGCCCGCACAATCACCGATCCGTCAAGACCCTCCCAACGATCACCTTGGGATAGAGCCTGCGACGCCGCTCAGGCCTTCTGCGCTCTACGTCGGCAGTTACGGACGACCAGTATATAGTTGGCGCCCTAGCAGGCGGACCCTTAGAGTTTCTTCTCTTTGGATCCTCCCCTGCTAGGTCGGTCCCTCCGTGTATTTCCCGTAGCTCTTATTCACGCTTTGGATCCTCCCCTGCTAGGCTTTCGTCGGAGTCTCCAGGGTTGCCCTTACAACAACCATGTCGAAATGGACCCCGTTAAGGTCGCCGGAGTCTCCGCATGGCCTCCGCCCGAAAACAAGAAGGACGTTCAGCAGTTCCTGGGGTTTGCTAATTTCTACCGCAGGTTCATTCGGGATTTCTCGGCCCTAGCGCAACCTCTCTTTGCGCTCACCAAGAAAGACCAGAAATGGACCTGGGGAGACGCCAGGCCGCCGCCTTTCAAGCCATCAAGGACGCGGTCGTATCAGAACCTGTCTTAGCGATCCCGGACGACTCTCGGCCTTTCCGACTTGAAGCAGACAGCTCAGATTATGCGACGGGGCGGTTCTTTCACAACAATCCGCCCCGGACGGGAAGTGGCACCCTGTAGCGTTCTATTCCAAAAGCTTAAATGATGTCCAGCGCAACTACGAGATTCACGACAAGGAGATGCTCGCGATCATCCCGCACTCGAGGAGTATCGGCATTTCCTCGAGGGCGCCACGCATCCGGTTGAGATCTGGACTGACCATAAGAACTTGGAATACTTCCGAAAGGCGCAACACCTTAATCGTCGGCAAGCCCGATGGTCGTTGTACCTTTCCAGGTTTGACTTTTACGCTGCACCACGTCCCAGGTCGCCAGATGGGCCGTCCCGATACTCTCTCCCGCCCGGCCTGACCACGGTATCTCCGACGACAACTCGGATGTCACCCTCTTACGCCCCGAACTGTTCCACGTTCGCGCTTGAGGCCGTCACTGTCTCTGGGCCTGGCTCCGAACTTGTCCGCGACATCAAGGAAGCGCTATCCGGTGAGCCTGACCTAGAGGAACCCGTCGCACTTGCGGCTCGGCAACTCTTGAAGGTCCGAGGTCAAGCTCGGGGCCCCGCTCATCGCGTTCGGACGAGTGGGCCGTCTCAGGCGACCTCCTGTACTTCCGCGGCAAGGTTGTAGTCCCCAAAGACAAAGACCTGAGGAGGCGCATTATAGAGCTCTGCCACGACACGCGTGTCGCCGGACATGCCGGGCGGTTCAAGACCCTGGAGTTGGTTTCGCGCAACTACTGGTGGCCACAGATGTCCCGCCATATCGGACGCTACGTCGCGACCTGCGACTTATGCTGTCGCACGAAGGCCCCTCGAAGGCTTCCGCACGGGGAGCTACATCCAACCGGAGTCCCCCGAGCGCTGGCACACCGTCACTGTGGACTTCATCGTCGAGCTCCCCGAGGCCCATGGGTATGACGCGGTTATGGTAGTGGTTGACGCCCTCGGGAAACGCGCTCACTTCACCGAATGCCATACGACAATAGACGCGGTCGGAGCTGCCCGCCTGTACTATCGGAACGTCTGGAGACACCACGGAACCCCCGAGAAGTACATTTCGGACCGCGGTTTGCAGTTCATCGCTGACTTTTACGCGCGAACTCTGGCGCTTAATTGGCGTCAAGCCAGCTACCTCTACGGCTTACCACCCGCAGACCGACAGACAAACCGAACGCGTTAACCAGGAGCTCGAGCAGTACATCCGAATCTTCACCAACTACCAACAAGACGACTGGGACGAGCTTATCCCTGCCGCTGAGTTCGCCTATAACAACCACGTTCACTCCTCCACTCAATAGGTACCCTTTATGACGGACACTGGCCGGCTCCCCCGAATGGGTTTCGAGCCGGGCACCCGCTCAGAGTTGGAGTCAGTGAACGAGTTTCGCGATCGGATAGCGAACGGCGTCTCCGAGGCGAAGGCCGTGCTCGTCAAAGCCAAAGACGAGTATAAACGGTACTACGATCGGAGACGATCGGACGCTCTCGAATATTCAAGTTGGTGATAAGGTTTGGTTAGATGCCTCTGACATCAGAACAACTCGGCCCTCCGAGAAGTTCTCCCACAAGTGCCTCGGACCGTTTAAGGTGCTCGCAGAGGTTAGTAAAGGTGCCTACAAGCTCGACCTCCCCCGCGTTACTCCAAGCTCCACCCCGTCTTCCCCGTTGTTAAACTCGAGCTCGCTCAGGACGACCCCTTCAATGGACGACCCGGCTACGACGAACCGCCCCCGAACTAGAGGACGGAGTCCCCGAATGGGAAGTCGAGGAAATCTTGGATGCCAGGATAAGGTATAAGCGTCTTAACTACTTCGTCAGGTGGAAAGGCTACGATGCTTCGCCACGACTCGTGGGTTCGGTTCGACCGTGTCTTCGCGCCAGACAAAATTGCGGACTTCTATCGGAGGTACCCAGGTAAACCACGGCACATCGCCTCAGCGACCTTCGACTCCTTGCCCTTCCGAACTATGCGTTGGGACGCCGCATTCAAAGGGGGGTGATGTCAGGGGAACCCCCGCCCGGCCTCCTTCGGACCCTCCGAACGCATCCGAGGCGCATCTGACCGGCGCCCCCTCGGACGCTCCGACCCACCCCGACCATCGTCCACAGCCTCCTTCGCCCGCACAATCACCGATCCGTCAAGACCCTCCCAACGATCACCTTGGGACAGAGCCTGCGACGCCGCTCAGGCCTTCTGCGCTCTACGTCGGCAGTTACGGACGACCAGTATATAGTTGGCGCCCTAGCAGGCGGACCCTTAGAGTTTCTTCTCTTTGGATCCTCCCCTGCTAGGTCGGTCCCTCCGTGTATTTCCTGTAGTCCTATTCACGCTTTGGATCCTCCCCTGCTAGGCTTTCGTCGGAGTCTCCAGGGTTGCCCTTACACTGTGTAGATTCTTACAGGAATTTTCTATAGGAACTTAAAAGGTTTATTTCTTATAGGATAGATCTGTTTCATGTATAACAGGTTTCTTTGTTAATATAGAATAACAGATATATTACTAGAAAATGTTTATTCCTACCGGACCTAGATATTATTTGCAGGAGATCCCACTTCCTATAGGTTAGATTCTCCTGGAAGAAAGTATAGATTCCTCTTGGAAGGCTTAAGCAATCAAAATGACTTGTAAACTATAATAAGTATGTGCTCTCAGTAGGAAAGAACTAAATATATTTGGGATATATTCCAACAATTTGGCTCCTTTCTTCAGCTTTCTTGATTAGTTGGATTCTACATGGTGAAGTTCTTTAGTGATCTTTCTTTTATTCTGCTCCTAGTCTTTTTCACCAAATTAATATCTAAAATTATCCTACAGGATATTTTCCTTTAGAGTTTCCTATAGGACAGGTTGCTTTTTCCTATAAGATACTTAGACTTCTTTTGTATGATAAACAGAGACCCAACTTTAGGTACCCTATAGGACAACTGGTACTTGTTCCTGCAGGATAACAGACTTGTTTGTCCTGTAGGGTATTATAGTATATACTAACCTGCAAGATAATTATTCTGCAGGGCTATAATGCAACCACTCTACAGGATAGAAAAGGTCAGGAAAGAATCTGAAAGACACCTGTAGAGAAAATAATCCTATAGGCTATATTAGGCTTCATTTATGCTACAGGAGAAATATTATATACTACAGGTTTGATTTTTCTATCCTACAGGATAATGCTCATGGGAACATGCCCACGCGAATGTTCCTATGGGTATTGCACAATGCACAGGATTGGCATGCGCACCTTTCTGTCAAAATTTATGAGGAAAATGATTTCCCCGTATCACGTGCATCGGCATTCATCTCTTCTCCGGGAACCAGCATGTCGTCTTATAGCCGGACCCGTGCAGCTGGAACCGATGGGCAGGCGTACTACGAGGCGACGAAGGAGCGACTTGCGAAGATACAGTCGCATCTGGCAAATAGTCCTCGAGGCAGAAGGTTACAGGACAAAGTGTGCATTGTTACTGGTGTCGGTTCGTTAAAAGGTTGGCGAAGGGTTTGAGTGCTCTGTCAGATGCTGAGGCTGTAGGTATTGGACGGGCCAGTGCGCTGCTGTATGCCCACGAAGGAGCCAAGGTAAGCTCACGTTGCCCGGAACACCCGGTTATTGGATAATTGTGCTCTAGCATCTGTATCTGCTCGACTTTGACGGCACCCACTTGGCCAATCTGCAGGAGACGATCCAGACGCAATATCCAGACGTCAAAGCGACTGTTCAACAAGGGGATGCCGCAGACGAGGCGCTCATCTCTGGGCTCTGCCAACGCGCGTTGAAAGAGGAGGGAAGGCTGGACGTGTTCTTTGCCAATGTGTGTGTGTTCTTAATCTACGTTCTGCCCCAGAGAATAATGCCGTGTAGGCTGGCGTCGCTACTGCCACTGCCTTGGAGTCCACCACATCGGAGGAATTTATGCGGGTGATGCGAGTTAACACACTCTCGTGAGCGCATTCCACGATCCCGAAGTTGTATTAATGCAATGTAGGACTTTTCTTGCTGTCAAACATGCCTCTGCTGCGATGAAGGTCGTCAACGCCTCCCGGGGGAAGACCGGCAGCGGAGGGAGCATCATATTGACCGCCTCGGGTTTGTGGAACGGTGCTCCAACTTTTGCTCTTTTCATCGATTGACGTAGTTGCCGGAATTCGCTCTGGTGCTGGGCCTATCGACTGTAAGGCTCCGCAACCGTCCTGACAGTCGCACTAACCCCGGCCCCAGATAGCGCGAGCAAAGCGGCGTATGCGATCCAATGCTTGCCAGCTGCGATCAACTCACACTTCTGAACAGTGTTAACTCGATCGCAAAGACCTCCGTGTACCAGCTGCAAAAGACTAACATTCGCGTCAACTCTATTTGCCCGGGGCTCATCGAGACGGGCATGACTGTCGAGACTTTCGACTTCGCGAGGAAACGCGGGGCAGACGCCAAAATCGGGCAGCTGAACCCGTTGGCTCGATACGGCGTTGCAGAGGAAATCGCGCAGGTCGCATTATTCCTCGCATCTGGTATGTTAACTTGGTTGACTGGTGCGACCACTTTCTCATGCAACCATCCAGACGAGTCGAGCTACATCAACGGACAAAACGTAGCTGTCGACGGGGGCCTGTCGGCTTCGCATCCCGTAGTGCCTGGCAGGTGGGCGTGAAACAATGGATTTGTTCAGTAAAGATTTCTTCTGCTGAGCTTGAGTGTTTGTTAGGACTATGTCTACTGAAATCGAGAAACATCTGGGTCTTGTCATCTGTTCATTGAATCTAAATCACTTTTGTCGCTGGTTACAGCTAAGTACATTCTTGACACTTGTTTGTTGCTCTTGCTCGACATCCAACTATGTGCGGCGCGTGTTGCTAACCGGCGAGCCAAACACGGAAACTTGGCGCACTTTCTCCTTCCCTTTGCCACTGCTCCAGGTTAGCTGCACATCATCCTCCCACTCGTCCCGCTTGCGCTTCCGGTAACTTCCCTCGCTGGTGCGCATCCGATCCATGTTCCTCACCGCGCGCTTTACGCCCTCCTTGATTTCCCTCTGCTTCTTGCTCCGGCTCTCCGCCGGGCAAAGCTCTACCAGGCCGGCAAGCTCGTACATGCACCTGTCGAAGTCGCTCGCAGCAATATTGTAGCTGCCAATAAGGCCCCCCGAAACACTTTCGTTGTCCGTATCCTCGAGAAGCATCGCATTGCGGTCGACTTGTTTGTGATAACGCGGCGCCGGAGTAGGGGAGGTCATATCGCCAAATACGGGACTGTGCATATACGGCTGATTCTTCGAGGACTGGTTCTTGTTGCTGCTGGGGCCGGGCACAATTAGGCGTCCCGTCGGCAAGCGGGGTTGCTGCTGCTGCTTGGCCCACGTCGATTTCACCGTTTCCACTATGCTTTCCTCTTCTTCGGCTAGACAACCGTTAGTCATCTCAAGGTACCCCGCTGGTTATCGAAACCTACTTACTGCTATCATCTTCGTCGTCAATGACATCCTCCTCATTCTCGCTTGACTTCCCCTCCGCTTCCATTTTCGGCTTCTTCGCAGGCTGAACAAGCTGCAATTTCCGCTGCCCAGGGCTCTTCTTGGGTCTGACCGGATTGCGCGGGCGCCCGGGTTTTTGCCGGGGCAGCACCATATTTTCTGCACCAGGGTTCGCGGCGCGGTATGCCTGCTGGGCGGCAGCGGTCACAGTGAAAAATGTATGAGTTAGACGCTGGCCATGGTTTCGTCAGCAAGAACAGACAGTGCATGGATGCGAGTCACGCACCCCTTTGCGCCGAGCGTCAACCTTCTTCGTCTGTTCTTCGTCCAGTTCATATACGGACATGGTGCACCCGTGGGTCTGGACAACTTTTGCAAGCGCTTCGCGCACGTCCGTCGTTAGGCCAAACTTGCAGACGAGCGAAGTAAGACCCTCTGGCGGCGCCTTCTTGAGGTCGACAGTGGCAAGATGATGCTCAAAGGCAGCTTTGGCCTGGAGACATCTTAGCACCCAGCTCACCCACCACGAAACAGAGGAAAATCACCTTCAAGAATGTTGGATTCAATTCCATCTCAAAGCCAAGTGGGAGACAAAAGCAAGCAAATTTTCGTCGTGTTTGAGGAAGCAGAGTCACGTTCTGTAAATCTTAAGTTTAATTTGTATGGAGAACTGCGGTAATACAAACCACACGGGAACACATACATCGATGCATTATACAGTACAATTTTCTGTCAGGGCCAAACGAAAAAAAATGCGTATGACGAGAACAGCGAACGGAATAAAGGAATTTGGTTATAGCAGTTGAAGCTGAGTAAAAATCAGAAAATGAAAAGAGTCGACTATGGTTACTAACCTTCGTCGAAAAGTTGGCTAGCTGCTATCAGTCGCTTCGCTCGAATCCAGTACCGACGTCGTCAAGATCGAGGAACAAACTGGAGCATTAAAAGGTCAACCAACGCGTCCGTCGAAATAAAGACCAAACACCTGTTTTTTGATTGCGTTCAGTACCAGTGAATCTACGAAAGCAAGACCGACGTCAGTAGCGGATTTGTGTAGGAAAGCGATCCAAACATACCCGGCCGCACGAAAGTCACCCTCCTCCTAGGCCTTTGAAATGACCGACTCAAAAGACTATTGGTAGTCAAAACCAATGAAGACCCTGGCTTGCTGCTCTACATCAAAAGGGATATCAGAATCGATAGAGACGAGACAGAGAAATCCTGACCACTTTGGATGCCATGTTCTCCCTCTGTCTCGTCCACAGCCAGTCACATCTCTCATCTCTAGCTGTTTTAAATTTTTCGAAAAAAAAATCGCAACAAGCCGCTGGTCCACCAATGCTGTCCGTTTTTTAGACGCGTGGTCTATGGAGGAAAAGACAGGCGGAAGATGCGAGAGCAAGGGCCAACGATGGCCACACCTTTACTTGTCGCGACCCACTGCCATCCAAGTTTGCTGGGTATTCCCGTCTCGTCTGTTCGCCCCGAAGTCTTTTTTTATTAGCAGATATCTGTCCTACTAGTAAGGGCGACACCCATAGCCTACAGGTTGGAAAGCTGTGAAGGACAATAGAGGTCAGTGTTGACCGTTCTAGCCTAGCGCCACATCAGACACACCTTCATTCCAAGAAAAGTCGGCCAGTTGTATCTCCCGCCTTGAATGCTTCCAGCGTCGAGTTCTCTGTAAGCGGGCTGCGCAAGAAAAGCGGCGTGCGTGTTTCATCGTTGGAACACGGACGGAATGGCATTTGGGATACACAGGTGGATTCAAACAATCGCAAATTCACCCGTCGCCTCTGCACCACAGACTGTGGTTAGCGAAGGAGAGAAGTCTGCGGAGGGTAGACCACGGACGCACCGACTTCAAAGAGCCCATACAATCCCGTTCCTCGCACAGTATCGTCGCGAGCCACTTGACGGACACATCAGTGTAGAAAAGAGGGAGAAACACTCCACTATAGCAATGATCTAGTGGCCTAGTCGAGCGAATGAGTGGTCGTCGAGACAGCGCAATGACTGCGAAGACTCGGAGGTATCCTCATTATGTAAGCTCATGACAGTTCATTGACAGTTCTTGGCGTGACCCTACAGAATGTCTTCTGAACACAACCACCAAATCCTCGAAATAGAAGATGACGATGCTCGTCTTCAGCGAATTCGTTCGTCCTTCATAGAGCCTATAGCCCATGATCAACAGACTTTCTACAGAAAATGCGCTCGAAAGACTGAATGCTTCAACCGGCCGGCCAATCAAGCCAACATTCTGGGCTCTCCTCGCACTTTGGAGCTAGGGACGGGCAACAACGAGCACCTCCAAAATCGTGAGCTTCATGGTAATTGTCGCACATTTGTTCATACACTGCGCAGTTCTGGCCCGTGTCCAAGCATTCTTACCGGAAATGGGGGCCTCGAATGCTCTCGTCGCGCAAAGGGCTGCAGAAGATCCCAACAGTGTGGATATCGAGAACGTGGATGACGACGAAGCAGTGATAGAGATGGCAAGTCTGTTGGATTCACTCGCTTCCAAAAAGTTAACGAACGATTGCTGGTAGAATTTGGGCCTCGGAGTTTTTGAAGATAAAAATGGGGAGTATTCAACGTCAGAAAGCGACGAATCTGAGGACGAGACAACATCGGGTGTGTCTACCGTCTTCCAGCCAAAAAATCACCTTATATTGGAACAGATTCAGAGAGTTCAGACGACCATGTAATAATTAATCGGCCAATCCGACCACTGCCAAAACGCGGTCGGGCTCCCCCAGAAATCATTGTTCTGTCGGAAACATGACTCGATAATGTTGCCTGGCGTCTCAACATGTACAACGTATGTAACAAGCGACCTGTCGGCGGCAGAGGCCAAAATCGGGCAGCTGAACCCGTTGGCTCGATACGGTGTCGCAAAGGCAGGTCGCGTTATTCCTCGCATCTGGTACTACTAGTATGTCAACTTCGTTGACTGGTGCCGCCACCACTTTCTCATGCAGCCATGGCATCCAGACGAGTCGAGCTACATAAACGGACACAACGTAACAGTCGACAGGGGCCTGTCGGCTTCACACCCCGCAGGTGGGCGTGAAAAAGAAAGGATCTGTTCAGTAAAATATTTCTTCTACTAATAAGCTTGAGTGAATACACTGTTCCCTCCAACACGCACAGAAAGTTAGATCGCCGTCTTATTTTTAGGTTGTGTTAACACCAACTTAACAGCGACCATGGTGAACTCGTATTCGGTGCCCACTGAGGCCTCTCGCGTATGGTTGTCGCTCTTAACCTGGCATTTCTCATTCCTCATGACTAGATTCTGAATGATGGCATCTTGAACAACCCACTTCACTCCGACCTCCCATCGTCTCTTCGCCAGCTTGCCAAAAACGTCATTTTTCACGGAAACGATGAGCCATCCATCCCCATGCCCTGGCGCTTCTCTGAGGCGGTGGCCGCTCTCAAAGCATTGGAGGCTACGCTCGTGAACGCGCTGGTCGAGAAGAAGTACCATGTCAACACCGGTGCGGTCCATATCAACACGTGTGTGGTGGATTCCGAGTCTCTGCGATGCGTTTTTGACGCCCCAGGCGCTGTAGCGACCGTGCGAATTTGCTGTTCATGGCGGCGCTCTTGACGCGCGTGGACCCCGAGGGAGCAAATGCACTGCTTCCTCCCGGTACAGACCCCGTAAGCAGGCTGGCTAAGCGTGAACTTGAACGAGATGATGTTGATGACCACAGTTCATCAAAAACAAGGATTACCATGGCGCGCTAGGCTCTGACCACCGGCGGGCGGCGACCAATTTGTATCGAGCGAAAGACGGGCGGTATATTCAAATTCATGGTGTGTCCCTCGTCTAGGTTTGCGAAACTTGAGGTTAAGCACTGATATTTTTTTTGCAGGTGGGATGAACCCAGACATAACACTGACTGCCCTTGGATTACCGCTTGAGAGCGACAAGAAAGGCGTGGATGCGACGAAGATGGTGGCGGATGTTGTAAGCCTCTACAACGCAGGGGACCTTGAAGTTAGTACAATCTTTCGCATTGGATGTTGATGCCGGTGTCGATGATCACAAGGAACTGCTAGTCCATAAATTCAAACAAGCCGCCGCTGTCGCCTCCACCGTCCAACAATTTCTCGATAGTGACCAGGTATCTACAAGCTTTCCCTGTCGCATATTCATTCTCAAATGCTGTAGGGCAAAGCGAACGCCCATGTCGGCTTGTTTCAAGTCCACCGGATCACTGATCCGTCGCAGCGGCCCGGCTGGTGGCCCGAGGCGCCGTCGTTCCCGTCTTCCCCGCAGCGACCGTTGGCCGGTCTGAAAGTCGTGGATCTTACGTGGGTTATTGCTGCCCCTTCCCTCACGCGCAGCTTGGCCGAATACGGGGCGAGCGTCATGCGCGTGACCGCGGGCCATCTGTGTGATTATAGTGCATTGCACGCAGAGTTGAACTGGGTTCAATGTTTCCTCTCGTTCCATCTATGCTTACTAAACTCTCTTTTAAAATAAGGGGAAATGGAACAGGTTTGTTTCCGTCGATGTCAACTTTCCTCTTCTTATTGAATACCCAGCGAACTCGATCTCCGAATTCAAGAGCATCGCGAGAAACTCAAGGCACTGATACTCGATGCCGATGTCGTGGTTGTTGGATATCGGCCGCTGGTTCTTGAAAAATATGGTTTCGGCAAGGACGCGGTTCTGGAACTTATCAAACAGTCGGGGCGCGAACGCGGCATCGTATATGCTCGCGTGAACTGTCACGGCTGGAATGGGCCACTGGCGGCAAGGCTTACTTGAACACCGGTGCTAGCCCCTGACTGACTTGTGCCAGAATCGACCCGGTTGGCAGCAAATCAGCGACACCAGCACGGGTATTGCGATGGGTTTTGCAGAGGTGCGCAAGTTGTTCAGTAAGATCCAGCGTATAATATTGAATCACAGGCCATGGGAATGTGTGATGGCGAGGCGGTCGTTTCTCTATTTCCTACAGCGGATTACTGCGCAGGTCTATCTGGCGCCAGTGGTGTCCTTCAAGCCCTCCTTGAACGAAACGAAAACGGAGGTTCCTATGTCGTCGATGTCGGTGTGTGTCCAGATAGAGGTTTCAATGGTGAGTTACCGCTGCTAGCCCTGAACTACTTCAATGTCTGGCTCGCGCGATCATGTGGCCAATACCCGAAAGGCGTCTGGGAAGAACTCCGGAAGCTGCACGATTTTCCGACTTTTGCGCCTGAAGAAAATCTCCCTGGTCTTAGCTTTCGATGCATTCAGATGCTTATGAGGAATGCGCCAGGGCGGATTATCCGCTCTGACTGGTTGGAGGACCGGCAGTCAAGTGCGATCGGGGTTAAGGTACGGACGGTCAAGCCGATAGCGGAATGGGAAGAGACCGCAGACGGCGGACAAGGAGTGCAGTCAGGCTTCAATGTTGGTACGAGGGGAAATGGTGTCGATGCTGCAGAATGGCCTGATGATCTCAGAGTTGAGATCGTGACTGCCACATGATACTAGTATGACCTCTTATCAATACTATATAGCGTTCACGCCTACTACCGTGACGTGGTTTGTGCTTTGCGGCGGCGGCACAAAAAAACAGCTTACCGGCGATCGGCTCGTGGGAGTTTCACAAGCTCATTATTATTATTATTATTATCATTGGAGGCATGGTATGCCTGCGGTCTGTCAGCGAAGTCCCTTTAGATGGATAAAATCGTTGTGTCGGTGTCTCACTGTCATCAACGTCCCCACACTGTTCATAATAATACTTCCTGCGCAGTGCTGATGTAAGCTCGCTAGGTATTTGAGGTAAGGGCTCGTTCGGTAACGATAAACCAGCGCGGTTTCTCGTGAGCGTGCTGCCGATAGGATTCTTGTTCAAATTACAGCGCCTATCCTCAGAGGCCTCAGCATTTGTTTGGTGTCCGCAAACCAGTCCTATTCCTCGCAGGGAATCATCTCAAAGACAAATAAACGATCGGTGGTTGGTGACGCTACAAGCTTGTCTTGGGGCGTAGATTATGTGATTGATTGGCGCCAGCCGGAAACGACAAGTTTTCTGAGTCATCGCAGCTGGGGCAGTATATAATTCTGTATAGCAGCCTGCCAGCAAGGCCCACACAAGAGAAGATATTAGTCGACATGTCGAACCCACCAGCTTACTCGCCACAAACCATGACCCCGCCATACTCGCCCAGCCCACATCCAACAGAGCGCACTTTGTTGGCTTCTCGGTCTCCTGATCATCGCAGGCGGAATGGGATATTTGTGAAATCCATGGGGGACACGACTCTATTGCTGTACAACCAAGAAGCTCCACTGAACAACGGCATTTTTGCGGAAAACGCGTCGTTTGCGGCTAATGTAGCCTTCAGCGGTTCTGTCAGCTTGGGGCGCGGCGACACTGTAAAGTCTGTGGTCCTCAAAGTAAGTGAAAACAGGCGATCGTTGAAAACTATATTGAGGGGAAGTTGGAGGGAACGATAGAGACGCTGCCTCTTCCAGCATCATTATCGGTTCTCGACATAACCCGGACGCTCTATTGGGCAGATCCGCGCCTGGGCCAGTGCCCAAACGAGCTCAAGTTCTCCTACAATATACCAAGCCTCTTCCGCCATGTCGATGGGACAATGCAGCCACGGCCGCCAAGTTTCCGCATCGCTTTCAATTCTACACAGTATGCGTGCTGCACCTATCGTCTGACAGTGACAACGATGTCATGCAGGCATCGCAAGACTCCGTGGTTGACGAAAAGCGATATGTGCGTGGCGTAAACCTGTCGCCGCGTTTGACTCGACTGGTATGTAGGGTTGCTGTGGAGATCCGATACCAGCCCAGTTCCTCAATCGCGCTGCCACCAATCGCGCGTGAGTTTCCTGGAGTCAAAGACAGCCCCAGGCGACGAAGCTCATTTGCGAAGCAACAGGTTCCTTGTGTGATGTATGTTTTCTCGTGGACGTTCCCTTTGGCAGCCCTTGATACTTACCAACAGCTATTTTTGCCGTCTATCGGAGTCTTCTCGGTGGATGAAGCGATACCGTTCCATCTGCAACTTGCAAAGACACCACACGATGTTGCTGTTAAAGTAACGATAACCCGACAAGTCGAAATGGACATGGGCGATCGAGTAGCGAAGCGATGTGTTGAGCTGGGGGAGGCAGAAGTACTGCAACGCGATGACTGCTTGGCTTGGTATGGTCAGGCGCGGGTGAAGGACCCGGCGTCACTGAGCCCGGTTGAATCATTCAAATGCGCGGCAGTGGTCATAATCACCGTCGGTGTGCTTTTCCTCTGTTAGAATTTGGGCTCATACATGGCGCAGGACATGCTTGCGGTGGAGATTTGGGTCCCAGGCCACTCGAAGGCGTTTTTCGGGTTTCCAATCAAGCTGACAGACCGGAATTACGGAGGGTGATGAGGGAGATTGGATGGGCAAGAGCTTATATGCAGTTGAGACATTGCGCTCAGACTGTCGCATCTCTGAACAGAGGACCGAGATGTAGTCGAGAAAGGAGATTGGTACAAAATAAGAATGCGCCCACGTGACGTTGGATCAAAAGACAAAATCTATTGCTTTCGACCGTCCCCTCATCATGCCTGCTACACGCAAAACTGCCCGCCAGGACACAGAAGTCATCACACTGGACGACAATTCCTCTAAGACCGTCGCTAATAAGCGTACAACTAGCCGCACTACTACCACCACCACCAAGAAGACAGCCGGGCAGGTGGCACAGGCTCGGAAGGAAAACCACCGCCCTACCACGCAGCTGGATATAATCGAAATATCGTCCGACGAAGATGAGGTACCCCCTCCTCCCAAGGCGGCAGCTCCACCCGGTGGTGCGAAGATGGCCAGAATGCAAGAGCGTCTGAAGCAACTGGAAAGGGACAACCTGCGTCTAGAACAAGAGAACAAGTTGCTGACGCAGTGTGTATGTCGAACCCAACATTACCATTGGATCGCACTGACTTATTACAACAGTCAAGCGAACTGGACGACGGTGTTTCATGCGAGATATGCAGTTGCAAAATGTGGTCTCCTTTCATGTGTGTTGTCTGCTTCATGAACAAATCTTTGCTCATCGCTCTCCAGCCTAGCCGAGTGTGGGCATACGTTCTGCCAGAAGGACCTTGAAGACTGGTTCCAAGCCGCGCTTACCCGCCACCGGGCCACCTATCCCAACTACAACGTCAACCAGCAGCACCCCTACGCCCACATCCCCGGTTATGCTATCCAAATGCCACAACCCACGGTAAGCCCCGAACTTCATTCAAGACCACCCCTTATCTATCACCCGTAGTACACGTGCCCGAAATGCCGCACAAACATTACCACGAAGCCGATCCAAAACTTTGCCGTCAAGCATCTCGCCCGAGTAGTGGCGAAGCAGTCGAGGGAGTCCAGCCCGAAGAAAGTTGGTGGAAATACAGCTTCGCCATGGTCTCGTTTTTTCGTCCAGTAGTTTCCAGCCTCTTCTTGGTCAACATTGGCAATCGTGCATCTATTATTACAACCAACTTCATTCTACGAGTACTTTTTACACCTACTTGTGAACTGTAGCTTCATATTAGTTTCACCACGGTCCCACCAAACTCATCCAATCCCGCAACACTTCTTCCCTTTTTGTCCCGATCGGATTCGTCATCTCAACTTGTCGAGGCAGCGGAAGTGCTTCGTATTGTGCAAGTAGGTTTCCGTCTAGTATGCCCTTGGACAAGGGCTTGGAGACAAAGTCATTGCGCACGATTCTACAAGTCGTTAGTGCGACAATATGGCCAGGCAAACAACCCACCGGAAAGCCTTGGGATTCAGACCAGCGAAATGCTGCATATTTCGCGTAAGCTGGCCCTGCAGTAGCTGCAGACGTTTGGCTGTTGCGTCGTCCACGGGCGTTAGGCACTTCAAGGACCCATCCGTTGAGCCTGGAAACAGATGACAAAGCGGGGTAAAAAAAGAGTGAATTATGTACCACAAATAAGCTTGGCTTGCGGAATAGGCTCCTCTTTCACCCTCCGTGCGATCGTCAGAGACGCGCGGTACTCGCACTGCCCATGGAACTCAGTTCGTAACAGCAGATGTCGACCATCACGTGAGTTGGGATCTACATCAAGTCAGTTCTGACACAATCAACGAGAACACAATCAACGAGAAGAGCCCACCATGCGGATTGTACTCGTACATCCGGATCACCCCTTCTTCGTCGCAGGTGAGCATCGATGCCTCGCCCTCCGCGAAGAAGAAGTCGCCTCGGGTGACGCAAACGCGCGCAAGGTCACGTGCAAGGATGACCAGTTTATATGGGTCCTCCTGCGCACGATGAGTAAAATCGACTTAGTACAGTATTGTTTGCGCACCTGGAAGGCGACAAACATCACACTCTTAACAGCATCGCCGATCAAGAGCAGATTCTTCATCGTTTGCAGCGAGGTTACATAGACACCAACGTCGAGGAAAGCCACGCCAACAAGTCGGTCATCATCAAAGGCACGCACGAAAATCTACAATGCACGTTACAGGGCTCGAATTCGAGCATAAAGGATCGTACCTTCTGGCCCATTGATGAGACGAGGTAACCATTGAATCCACAGAGTGCGGTAACTGGTCCCTTGACATCATCCTTGAACCGCAAACGCAGTTTATACCACCTTTTGGGAGCCAATGTCGGGTCTGGAACGACCTCCACAATCTCGAAAATGTACGTCTGTTGTTCAACGTTCAGCAAGAGAAGAAACGACGCCGAGTTGTTGCCTACGGTGCCTTTGGCCGCAAGATCTTCTCCGCGGTTGATTGTCGTTCCGACCGCGATGAATTCCTTGTTCCCAGACTCGGTACTAGATGTCTCAAGGTTCACAATGGCCAGCGCCGTGATAAACTCATTGGTCGCAAATTCAAAACTAGCAAAACTGTTGAGTAGCAGGGTGCGGAGTATTCTGCTCACCCGTCCATAGAAATCCATAAATCCGGTGATATGAGCTCCAGGCAGGAGCACTCTCCAAGAGGATCTGTAATATTTGGTGCTAACATCTAATGAGTAAGCTGGTGATAGCATCAATATTGCTATCTCACCATCAGATTCCCATATTCTGACGTTGTCCTCGTCGAAAGATGTGAACTTGGAAGAAAGTGATGATGCTGCGACAATCAACGACGTCGATGAGTCGAACGCTACGTGTGAGTATGATCGTCCTCGAGGAATCGACTTTGAAGGCAAAGCAGTATCGAGGTTTATGTCGGGGATCCATTCGAGCAAACTAGGTCCCTGCGCATCGCTCAGTTGCAATCGTCATGGAAAAGACTACCTACCTCGTCAGAGTACACCAAAAAATCAGTAGTTGAGTCCCATAACGTGCATTGGGTGAAAGAATAGACGACCGCATGCCCCGACGAATGCATCTTGACTGAGCCTTTGTCCGTCGCCAAAATCCAATTTGGCTTATCTCCAGTGAAGAACACGCCCGAGAGTGTGGTTCCTTTGGAGCGACCAGTCACAAATGGGACAAATTGCCGCGAGATCCGCTTCTGTTCAGCGATAATGCTCTTGTCGTTCTCGTCTGGTCGTTGAATTTCGAAAGACCGCGCCAGAACTTTAACAAATTTCAGGTTGAGAGTCGATGAGCGCGTTATCGTTGGGGGTTCTTCCGCTGTGCCATCTGGAACAATCTGGTAAGCTGCAAGATGTCCACAACGGAGGAAGATCTGGTGATCAAGTTAGAATACTCGCGCATACGCGTAAGTGGCTTACAAAAAGATGTGGTTTCGGATGTGATTCGCCCAAAGGTGCAATTGTGACTTGTTCAATGTCCAAGTCTTGGGGCTTTCGAGGAGGATCCTCCGGAGGTGACGGAGTTGGTGGCTGGTGCGAGTCTGTGACGACGTTCTGTAGGCTGGCCAACCCCGGGGTCGAGAAAGCCAGTGTTAGCTTGGGTAATGTCCAGATCTAGAACAAGATATCAAGAAGATGAAGCTCAGTAGAATCAGAAGCCAAACCTCAACAACACCCGAAGGCCGAACAAGTAAAAGCCACTTGCTTTTTGGCAGGACCCCTTTGTCGACACTGACTGCGCTGTTCGGTGGCATTGCACTCTCGAAACAACTATCAAAGAGTCCAGTTGTGTCGGTGAAGAAGCAGCCAGTCAAGTATCTCGACGACTAGGTAAAATTTAACTCGACTTCAAACTGGAATGAAATGAAACCGACCTTGTCGCCCATTGGTGACATGTCTTTCCTGCGAATTTTGCCTCGGTCCGTGTCGATGAACATCCCTATCGAGTCGTCCTCCCGAATAACAATAACATATGGATCAGATATGCTGCAGGACCGAATCTTGGCACGGGGCATACTGCCATCCTTGTCTTGGATGTTTTGCCTTTCAGTGCCGTCTGTACATATTCAGTTACTTGGAAATCATGGCTGAAATGCTTGCAAACCCGGTTCTAATACGCGAATTGAGTTGGTAGTAACATGCAAGATCGCAGATCTCTGGAAGAACGAGCCGACGCCGATGGTCAAACCCGGTATTCGCACAGAGATTGTGATGTCGCCTTTTGGACCCCGATGAGCGAGCTACAATGGACAACATGAAGTCCACGAAATCTCTTGAAAACCTCCTTACCCGAGATAATCCTGGTGTGGGGGTGGCGTCTGTACTGATGAGGAGTGTGTCATTTTGGCTTTGAGGGTCCCCGTTATCCCCAGCAGACTTGGTTATAGCGCGGATAGGAAGCGACCAGATACCCCGCGTACCACCTAGGGCGTGTAACTTGCGTTTCACTACAACGGGAAGATCTCGCTAAGAAGAGTGAATGAAAGGCAAGTAAAAGACACAGAGCAAACCTGGAACAGGGTGAATCCGCCAACGACCCCGCTTCCCGTTGCAGCGACCAGTTCAGGCACCGCACGATCCTACAATCAAGTTAGACATAGTCAACATCATACTACGGATACTCACTCCATTCCAGGCCACAGCAAAAGTCATATCTGCGATAGAGGCATACGTGTCCAACGTGTCACACAGGACAAGTTGGTGGATTATTCGCGTCTTCTTCGTTGCTGAGTGTCCATTCGTGAGCTTGTTGTCTTTCTTGACTGGTCCATAGATATCTGACAATGACGGTCAACAGAGTCAAAAACAGAGAAAAATGAAAGCACCCTCGTCGTCGTCAAAAGTATGCATTGGGACATCATCTTCTTGAGCAGGCTCCTCGAATTCCTCTTCCATTTGGAGGAACTTGAGGAGCACCGATGGACCGGCAGTGCTGCCGACGAAAACCAGGCCATTGGGAAGCTTTCGGACAGCGTCAGGGATGGTGCTCTGACCCAATGACGAGGCGAAGACAAGTTTAGAGACTGTTTTACCGGCGGAAACGATTTCGATCGGGTGAATCATTCCATTTTTCAGAATTAAGAACAATATTTTCTCGTCTGCGAAGACAAGCCTCGCACCCTCAAGGGTGATGTCGCGGGACTGCTCTTCTGATGAGAGCGGGAGCATCGAAAGCTCCGATATTCGGCCAGCCCAACCATTCATAGCAAGCCCGATACGTCGAGACGATTGGTCGACATAAATCAGAGCATTGCTGGTGAGGATAACTACTCCGCCAACTGAAGCAGGGCACGGAACGAGATGGATGCAGTCATGAGGGAGGCCGCTGACAGAGGTGATGATTGGGTAGTGTTGTCCAACGACATCCATCGTGAAGATAGTCAGCTTTGTAGTGTCCTTGAATTCTTTGAGTCGTCTAACACAAGGTATCATGTAAATGTAACGGAAACATAGATTCTGCCACGAACCCAGTCCATGTTTGCTGTGTTTGGTACAAGACGGCCATTGTTGGATTATTGAAACCGGGAAGAAATACGAAGTCGATCACGTTGCGCATATTCTCTTCAACGCCGCTCGGAAGTTCGAGAATATAACTTGGGGCGTAGGGCATATCCCTTGCTTGGTCATCCAAGCCTTCGAGATCTGCTTGGGTTTGGTAAAACGGCAGGATTGCGATGGCGTCTTTAGGGAGGAGAAGCGCTGCACAGCGCGAGCCTGGGTCAACACGCAGTTGAGCCTGAAATGCGGAGGAGTCCATTGAGATCTGATAGATTCGATGAGCTGACATTGGGTAAAGAGTCGAATGCCTACGAGTTGTGGCGCTCGTTCATATGTGTGGATTGACACAGTAATAAGGTCGTGGACGATTTCCGACCATTCCATGAGGGCTATCTTGTGATGGTGAGTCTAAAGACATCCTTCACAAGACAAACAATTACCTTGGCATCCTTGAAGGATATTAAAAGTCGGTCCAGCTTGTCTTCATTGGAGGCCATAATTTGTATGGCCTCCATTCCGGTGACGATGCCATGGAGTGAGTGCTCTCTGACGAAATATATTCGGGTCATAGTGGACCGAGGCTAGGAAAGCGCAGTACAATTAGAGACACGTCGTTTCTGCCCTGCATTCACAACTCACTTTTGCCTGGCCATCCATATCTACATCTTCCCCGTCATCCTTCTCTATCTCCTCTTCTACGACATTGAATATGCGGAGGAAGTTCGAGCGCGCAACCACAAGATTGCAGAGTGTGTGTCGAGTCGAAGTTGATTGGAGTGGTGAAGGAGTCAGACGAAGTGTGACCGCGAACTGCACTCCGCTGGGGGGAAGTATTTCTTGATGCAGAGCGTGCATCCACAAGGCTTGGACCTTTACCGACGCTCGTTACTGCTCGCAGCAGTATGATGATCCTCGAGTTGAGGTGAAGACAAGCGAAGACGCGGTCACACGTGACGATTCAGACTTTTCGACTGCGATTCAAATTGTATTTGGCTACACATTGTACAATGTAAACAACGTCTTTATAGAACGCGGCGGTATCGCTATAGCATTTTCACCAAGCCCAGGATCACAGATTACAAATTACGACCTAGTGTCAGATACCAACTCTGAAAACGCTAAACGGATGTTGCGGATGAATGCAACGAGGTCTCCACTTTTGCGAAGTTGGGAGAGTAGCGCGTTTAATGGGGGTAGCGAGGGGGTAGCTTTGGCTGTCCGATAGCCCATTAAAACAGACGAAGCGCCAGATTTGAGGCCATACCTTGATACAAGTCGGTCGAAAGGTCAAGGTCCAGTGAAAATTCCCTGTCTGGGTTATCGGGATCAATTCGCAGCATGTGAATAACCAGTTGGTCATTCCCACAGCCCTCGACAACACATCCCAGGCGTTCCTCAACTTGGAGTGTTTGAGATGATACACCTGCAGCGGAGGCAAGCAAGTTATCGTTCTCGTTCTTCTTGACTATCGACCTGGTCATGATGGAGCTCGGAATAACAATAAGACCACGTACTTCGCTCTAGGTTTTCTTTAATGGCACGATATTGTTCAATTTGCGCCTCGATCGCGGCGCACTTGTCTTCCAAGGTTGCCAACTGCCTTCTGTAGTCTGCTACGGAAAGCTCGGCCTCTTTGCGTTCTTCTTGCTCCCGTTGAAGGTCTAAATAACTCGTCAGATTGAGGACCAGCCAACATGCCCAGGTAAGATACCAGCCGCTAGTTTGAGTTCCTCAATCTTGTACTCCTTTGTCTCAGCTTCAACGTGGCCGATCTTCTCCACCGTGCGCTTGACCTCTGATGCGTGTCTTGTTCGCCGGTCAACTAATGTGGCAATTTCACGCGTTTTGTAGTCCGATACTGCCTTGAGGAAGTTACGCGAAGAGATATCAAAAGCTTGAGTGCGGAGGTCGATATACGGATTGGTTTCCGTAAGAATTGTGGCAAGGTCAATCTGAGGAACACGGACGGAGGAAGGAGCCATGTTTGGTCATGTGATCTGTGACTGTTCGTCCACTCCTTGCGGAGGCTTGCACGACACTTTGCACTCCTTACGGAATCAAGATTTCCAGATGCCTGGAATATTCCAGCAAGAGATTCAAACTCTTTGTGGAACCCGTATTTCTGTGGTTCAGTTTCAGCCCACAAGTCGACCTATCGAAGACCGGTTTTCCATCTCCTCTTCTTCCGATGAATCCCGCTTACTATTGGGTGTTTATGATGGTATTGCACCATATCAAGATGTATGATAGCGTTAACGCTTACCAGGACATGGTGGACCGCGTACCGCCGACCATATCAGTCGCATATTACCGGAAGCCCTGCTTGCTGCTCGCCCCAACGATAACGTACGGATATTCGAGGAGCAGGATCAAAGACTGCTCCAGAATTTTGAGGCACAACATCCGTTCATAACCTCTCTACTGGGACAAAAATCAAGCGCAAATCAATCCGCTCGACTTTTACGTTCTGGATGCACGGCACTAGTGCTTGACGTTGACCTCAAGAACCGAATGGTTCATTTTGCAAATGCTGGTGATTGTCGTGCTATTGTGTTTGATAAGGCTGCAGGAAACCACCAGGAGACTGTAGATTTGAACGCCAAAACCTCTCTTGAACAAGCACGGCTCAACGAAGAGCATCCAGGGGAGGATGACGTTATTGTTGGTGGCCGTCTCTTCGGGAAATTGATGAGCACTCGCGGTATGTGACGCCCTTGACTCCCGTCTCGCTCTGATTTCTCTAAGGATTTGGCGATGGATATTACAAGCTTCCGCGTGGCTTCAACGGATGGAAGCACCGGCACTACGTCAATATTCTATCTGCTTTGGACGTCGACAGTGGCAAAGTTCCCCTGAGCGCCCAATACGATTCATACTTTTATGGATATCGCTCTCCGCCTTACATCACTGCCACGCCAGACGTTGGGGTCTTCGAGTTTGATACAGACAAGCTACTTGTTTGCGGCTCCGATGGAGTTTTCGATTTGGCGTCCAGCGAGGAAGTCGTTGCCATTTTACGATCTGGTTTGGACCATAACGCGGACAACCTGGCCCTCTATTTATTGAATATGATCATGTCTTCAAGAAGTCCTGGCGATGATGTCACGATCCTTGTTCTCCAGCATTTGCCCCTCGCAAACCCTTGACTCCCGCTAAAGGAATCTCTGCGGGACGGTGAAAACAACACCTTGGCTGCATCGCTATCAATTCCTGTCCGATTACCGAACGTCATTGCGAGTTGGCACAACACCCAGTCTGCTTCTCGAGGGTGGACCCTTTTGCCTTCAAGTTGATGGACCCAATGCTTTGATAGACTTGAAGAACGCGCGCCCAACGACATGGCCTGTGTTTATGGCATAAGCCTGGCAGCTATCCACGAAAAGGGATGATACGAGAGGAAGACAATACAGAGCACTTCGAATTACAAGACGCGTCAAAAGATGCTGGCAGGGAAACAGTGTCTTACAGCTTTATGTATGTCAACGCTGTAAGCTATCTGCTCGTTCAAGGACCATAGTCGGGGGCTTAGATGTAGTTGCAGCAGTGTCTACTGTTGGTTTTGGATTGTCTTCCCCCACAACCCTCAAGCGCCCTCCGAGCTGTTCGGCCCACGGGTTACTACGTGAATACCCTCGTGGATAGCTTCGAGGTTCAAGTGAGTCGAGATGACTCTTGGTTTCGACAGGTCCCAGATGCATAAATCAATCCGCCGATCTACATTGATTCCCCCGGTATGATGGCTGTGTCCTCGAAGGTGATCTTAGGAATGACGGACGTGGACCAGCTGGGAAGCGCTGCCTTGGTGACTGCGCGGCGCCTACATATATACTCGCTTGCTCTCAGCCTCAGCTGCGATCGACACGCAACCTGAAAAAAATCAACAGTCCGGACTGCGCAATTTTCAACTTGCTACACCGGATTTTCGGTCAATGACGGACTTATAAAACCACCTCTATTCTCGCCGCGTTGAAGTCACCACTACAATGTCTTCCAGACGGAAACCCATGTCGTATCTCGACGTCGCACATTGCCTCTCCGATCTTGAGCCAGACCTTAAAACGGCTGCCAAAACCTTGGGCCAGTCTACCGTGCAATTGCTCCAGAGCTTCGATGCTATTTCAACACAACTCCATAGCGTCGACTTGCAAGGCGCTCTGCCACCTATAAAACCACGGTGAGTGCCACGGTCTGTTTTGTTGTGAGAAAGTCACGTTGGTCAGATGGAACCTCATGCACAGGGTCAAACACGCTTGTTGACCACCTTGTCCGAATCTAATATGCCGACGAGTAGGAATATCTTGAACTACTGTTGAATCTACGAACCTGTATCTCAAATTTGTCGGCACGAATCACCAGTACGCTCTCCAACAAACTCTTCCGCTCGGGCTTACTCAAGAATGGATAGTGTTCTGCACGGCCATACTACCTCTCTCTGATTCAAGGTCGTCACGATCCTATCAGGAGAAGGTCCATGTGCTCAGATCCTATATGGCCGTAAAGAATCGACGTTGGATTCGGATTTAGCTGAATACCTCGCTAGATTTCCGGGGAGCAAGCCGCTGTTACATTCAGCTTAGTCGAAAAGGCCATCAATTTTAATGCGGTCCTGAATAACTTCCATACGGAGCTCGCGAGGGCAACCAGTCAACGAACTCCATCTAGCCCTCGTGAATTACAGGATGTTTGCAACAAGATGGGACTGCTTCACAAAAGCGTCAAACGGTGTGTATTGCTTGATCTGTTCGGTATGCCGCTCTGAAGGGCCCTCGTTACAGGGTATATAACGGGGTGAGCAGTCCGATATCTTCGAATCAGTATCAGCTTACCAAGGAACACCAGAGTTCCAAAGTAAACTGTCCTGACGCGACGTTCCCGGCCTTCACAGCCTTCCGAATAGTCGCTTCGGCTGGACAACAAAGTGCGAAGACAAAGTTGTCGCGTTATCAAATGGTAAGCGGTCTGGCTGTATCCATAACCCGACGGGAAATGAAACAAAACCAAGTCGCTAGCCGGGAACCTGTCCGAGATGTCAAACCACTTCCAGAAACTCGAGGGTGCGATTGAAAGTTGAAGTTGAACTCGACTGAAGCTCGTCAATAGATGCTCGGCACGAAATCACGCACGCTCAGTATGCTGCGAAAATGTGCTATAGGACATCTGAGGCGCTTTCTGCCACACGAACGGCAGTGTCTGATCTAGTGCCCCACGAAATGCTGCTGGTCGAGGTCATGTTGAGTTTTGCCATGGCCATCTGGCTCCGATTGCAAACGGATTGTCTTGAGGTTGGCACCTGGATACAAAACCAAACCAAGGTTCGCACGGCTCGTTTCTGTCCAACTTTTCCCTTATTCTACTCAGGAACCCCCCAATTGCGTAGCCGCCTATTTGCACGGTGTCACGATTTATTCTTCCTTCTCTTCAATTTTGGATAGTTATACCGAGGAAATTGATCCACAGACACTCAATACCAACTCTTTACTGTAGAATACCCTTATAACAACTCCTGAAATTCGACGTTTTCGGAGCTAATCGGCGCATCAATTTCGGACTTGATTTCCAGCTTTCGAGTCAACGTCAATGAAGTATTTTTCTACTCGCGGCGGTGGCCCCAAGCTCTCGTTCGAAGAGGTCAACAGCTTGCATTCCACTCTCATACGCTCAACTTGGCCTTTAACAGACGGTCCTCACGGGTCTGGCGCCCGATGGTGGCCTATATATTCCTGAATCTATTCCAACTCTGCCGCCCAACTGGCAAACGGAGTGGAAGTCGTATTCCTTCGTCGACTTGTCAGTCGCAATTCTATCTTTGTTTATCTCCCGCGATGAGGTTTCCGAGCCCGATCTTCGTGCCCTTGTCGTCAAGTCGTACTCCACATTCCGCCATCCCGATATTACCCCCCTGGTGAAGCTTGACGACCGACGATTCGTGCTGGAGCTCTTCCATGGGCCAACCTTTGCGTTCAAGGATGTGGCCCTGCAATTACTTGGGAACCTCTTTGAATTCTTCTTACTCCGTCGGAATGCGAAGAAAGCAGCTGGGGAAACGCCGGAGAAGCTAACTGTGGTCGGTGCAACGAGCGGAGACACGGGAAGGTACGTTAAAGCGTCTAATGCCATCCTGCATGTACTGATTCCCTGGCCAGTGCCGCAATCTATGGTCTGCGAAATAAAGCCAACATCTCGATATTCATCCTCTATCCAAAAGGCCGAGTGTCTCCCATCCAAGAAGCACAAATGGCAACTGTCACCGATGCTAATGTGCACACTATTGCCGTTCAAGGCACATTCGACGACTGCCAAGTCAGTGCTATCCTTCTTATACCTTACCCGCCCTCTGACCTTTCCCAAGGATATCGTAAAAACGCTTTTTGGCGATGCCGAATTCAACGCAACACACCGCCTTGGTGCAGTCAACTCCATCAACTGGGCACGCATTTTAGCACAGACAGTCTACTACTTCCTGGCCTACTTCCACATCCAGCCACACTTGCCCGATACCTCAGCAGACGTACAATTTGTTGTCCCCACAGGCAACTTTGGTGACATTCTGGCGGGTTATTACGCCAAGCGGATGGGTCTGCCAATGGGGAATCTTGTCGTCGCAACAAACGCGAACGACATTCTTGCCAGGTTCTGGAACTCAGGCAGGTATGAAAAAGCCGACTCGGAATTGCCGGTGTCAGATGGCAAGCAAAGCGGAGTCAGGGAGACGCTATCGCCTGCTATGGACATCCTTGTGTCGAGCAATTTCGAGAGGCTTTTGTGGTACCTTGCATACGAGAACGCACAAGGCGACGACGAGAATGCTAGAATGGTGGCAAGCTCTGCCACGCTAGCGAGTTGGATGAGTACCATGAGGACCGATGGAAGGGTCGCAATCCCTGTTGACATCTTGGAAACAGCTCGCCGCGATTTCCGCGCCACCAGAATATCTGACGAGGAGGTGCGTGGTTCCCGCAGAATATGCGTAATGATGGAGCTTCCATAGACTCTCCAAACGATTCGTTCTCATTTCGAAGCGTCACCGTCATATATCGCGGACCCACATACCGCAGTTGGCCTTGCCGCTGGCAAGGCCATCGCTTCCAAAGAGTGTGTCCTCTAATCCTGATTGCGACGCCTCTTCTCAACACAGCTTCAGATCAACAATACCACTACAAATCATGTTATCCACAGCCCACCCCGCTAAATTTTCTGAAGCAGTTGTGCAAGCTCTACGAGGACAGCCCAGTTTTGACTTTGATCGAGACGTGCTTCCACCTGAGTTTGTCGGGCTGTTGGAGAAGGAGCGGAACGTTGTCGAGGTCCCTGGTCCAGAGGTAGACTTGGTCAAAAAGGTTATCGAGAGATTTGCTATCGTTGATGCAGGCAGCGGTGGTGTAGTTGGTGTATAATCCCAAAACTTAAAATGCAACAGACTAACTTGGCAGATCTATTCTGGACAACCAACAGCCTTCGTAATCTCCACCTTTTGACAAGAAAGCCCTCTTTGGAATAATAACATTTCCCATAAGCTCAATCCACCTCTGTCACCTGAAGCAATGCCAGAGCCTGTTTTAGGGCTGAAGACTTGCTTTGGCTGCCTCTAGGCTTTCTTCCAAGGCCTTTTATCATCGCCTTCTTCAAAGTAAGCATTCACAATCAACTCTCAGATCCATCACCCACAATTACGAGTACTTATGTCCTAACCCTAACAAATTGTTGTCAAAATGAAGGCCTTTTGGACTTGGTCGTTGCTGACTTTGTCACGTTTTTGCCATTTATTGGCATTATATCCAAGTAATGAAGTTGTCGGTACACGACAGTGTTATTACCCACATACATCAGTAACGGACACATACACTACATGCTACAATCGACAGCAAGTTGCAGAGCAACAATAAAAAATGAATATATCAGGCAACGGAGAAAATCCTCGAACAGAGCGGCGGGCAGTGAGAGCAAGGGGGTGACGATAAAAAGAAATCGTAAAATGGTCAGTGGCGAGCTCGTTTGCGCCGCTGTACATCGCCGGCGGGAGTCAGTTGACGCGCAGGTATCGAATTGTCGTCATCCGCCACAGGCCCAGAACCACCGCCACTTGCTTCGTCCTCCTCGTCATCACTAGTCGGTCGAGCCCGCTTTTGAGATCGCGAGGGGGTCTCAAAAGGCGGGGGGTCATCAGGCGGGGGTGATAACGATGATAATGATCTCCGCGCTGAGCGAGCGTTCTCTGACTCGCTATCCTGCGTGGGCGGTATGACTTGCGCTTGACTAGATTTTCCCTTGGGCTTTGGTCGCGGTCTGGGAGTTGGGGGCTCGGGGTCTTGCTCTGGCGAAGACTGCCTGCCGTCCACAGGCGGCTTCCTGGGTAATCGTCGTGGTTTTGGTCTCACTGGGGACGGCTCCCGATCTTCAACCAGTTTCTCGACTTCACTGATTTCAGTTTCGTCTTCGCTCGACGTGATAGCGTCGCCTTTGGCAGCTTTCCCTTTCCGTCCTCCTTTGGCTGGGGCTATCATAGTTAGTCAGCAAGTCACGTGGTAGGCAAAATTTGCTTCACCCTTGTCCTTGGATATAATCACAGCCAACCGCTTCTCGTATGCCCGCAGAGGTTCCCAGATTTTCGACGTCGAGGAAGCGTCCACCTTGGCCTGTGCCAATGCTTGGTCGAGATGCGCCTTTCTGGCAAGACTGTCAGCATCAGCTTTGTTTTGGGAGAGCGAAACTTACATCTTCATCGCATCCCGACTATGGAGACCGACAAGTAGCGGTACCAAAGCTTTGAAGAACGTTATCGAAGTCCGCAGCGAGTGCTTATTCTTGTTAGCCTCGAACCCGCCGATCTTCTTGATGATCCAGCTCAGGTTTGTCGTCTGAATCTGGACGACATACTGCATCTCCAGACGCTTAAGGACCGCAAGATGCGCTCCTCGCAGCACGAACGCCTGCGAAAGATGTTTGGACAGCTGCACAAGACTAGTCTCGTCTGCAACCAGGCCATCAAGCACCAAGCCAAACGCTTCCTGTAACGCTTGGGTGACAACAGCGACAACGGTATCGCCGCCGTTATCTTGCTCCAGTCCCTCTTCGCGTAACGTCTCCACGATGAGTTTCGTAAAGTTGTCGAAGGTGGCCCCCAGACGGCCATATTGCGACAGGAGGACGGCGCTGTGCTGGACATTCAACACTCCAGTCCGAACTGCTTGGATGAATGTCACTGCGAGCTCAACGAAGGAGTATTCGGTGAGCAATTGAGCGGGCGAATGAACATCGACTTAATAATAAGACGTCAGACTCAACCAGAACGTTGAGAAAAACACTTACCCTCTCTGACCGCATTTTTCTTCTTCTTGAGCGTCTTCTGTTGGTTGTCTTCGTCACCACTTTCGTCCTCCTTCTCGGCATCCTCAGCATCGATCTCTTCTGCTAGAGTTTCCGCATAGCGCTCAATCTCCGCTTGCATATAGCCAGCACAACGAAATTGAGTTTCGTCGTTCATCGACAATGGTATATCCTTGAAAGTGGCGAAGAGTATATGCATATTAATCAAGCAGAGGAACGCTGTGCGCGAAACGAGGATAGCGGTGTTGGATTGGGTGCTTGCCACAGCATACTCCTCACATCGCTCGAGTAAGGAGTTGCGCTGTTGTTCGAGTTTTTCTCGGAACCGGGTGTCCTCCGGCGAACGCTCGTCTCCCTGTTTCTCTTTCTTTAGATGCCTCATCTTCCAGACAAGATGTTTGTGAAGAATTTCTAGTGCTTGAGTTATCATCTGCACCGAAAAGAGTCAACGGCGACAGATAGAAGAAGACGGCGACAACTCACAAAGGCCTCCTCTTTGTATCCCAACTTCCCACGATCGACCAACGCAGAAACAATATCCGATATACTGCTCTGCTTCCCACCCTCGTCCTCTTCGAGCCACGAGCTCAAATCACGGCTCCCAAAGAGCAGAGAGATCCGCATGCACAAAGCACCCAGGGTGATCATTTCGTCTTCGTCAAACCCAGCGATATCAATTTCATCGCGACCGGAAACCGCGTCTCGGAGCGCAGAGGCCATCTCATCCTCGAGTTCAAGGATTTTGGTGCTGTTGGTGTTGGATAAAGAGGTTGCGGAGAAGAGGTACATCATCGCCTGGGCAGCGACGCTGAGGACGATGGGGTCAGAGTGGGAAAGGAATTGTTTCATGATGTCGTCCCAAAGACTCGAATAGGCCTGGAGAAAATGAGCAAATGAGATCATATTGTTACTATGTAGGCATACCGACACCATTCGCATCTCGAGATACAAGTCCAGATTCATGAAAGTTGGTATCGTGAGAACATTCGTCAGTCGACTTTGATCGGTTTGGTATTTGACGAGCAATCGAGGAAGACCTTTGATAAGAGCCCGAGTAATGTCATTTGTCAAACTTTCTTCATCACCCTACGTTGCATAAGAATGTGTCGAGATACTATGAACAAAACTCACCTTCTTCGCGAACTCCTTGGCATACTTGAGGCTTGCCACAAGTACCTCAATCAGCACTGTTTCCTCGTCCTCTTCTAATCGCCAAGCCTCGTCGACGAGTCCATCTTCGCTCGCCTTGGACTTTCCATTCACCTTTTGTTTTCGAGCATTCGAAGAGTCCTCATCTGCAGATGAGTGATCGAGTAACAAGACATTGAGAATTGTTTCCCAATCACTGACTGCCTCGACCTCATTCCAAAGGGCCTCAACGACAATACCGGCACGCCCCATGCGCTCCTCGTGTGTGGCCGCGGTAAGAGAGTTAGGTTCCTTTGGTCGTACGGGCCGCCGATCTTCGTCTGCCTCTGTTTGTTCTTCATCCGGATCGGCGTCCAACCTCAGCCCCCATCGGACGAGTACGGTGCTTAGTGCTTTCACACCAGCACGACTGCGTTCCTCGTCAGTGACCCTTCCCGCTCGGCCCACCAGACGTTCATCGACGATTTCCTCCCAACAAGCCCGGACAAACCCACCCACGGCTTTTCTAACGCGCGGCTCAATGTCGAATACACATAGTGCAACCGTTTCTCGCTCGTCATCTTCCAATTCGCTGATTCCGATGGCTTCGATGACACCGAGAACTGCAACACGCACGCCAGAGTCAACATCGCGAGCAGCCATTTCGAGGAGTCTCCCTTTAAACCGCTCAGTGAAATGATGGACATTAGGCGCGTAGGATGACTGCGCATAAACTTTTTCCAAAGCATGCAACGCAGCAAGCCGTACAGGCGTAGCCTTGTCCGATAATACCCAGCCGATGTAGCGAAGGTATGTGGCATCAAGAAAATGAGCGGGGTGTTTGCTGAACCAAATCCCGAGAGCTTCGGTACAGTCTGCGCGGATAAGGGGGTCCAGGTCACGATATCGGTGGACAAACACACCATCAACACCCTCCTTGAGAAACTCGGCTAGTTTCTCGCGGTGTTGTCTGATTTGAGCGGCCTTCGCGTCATGTCCTTTGTCGCTCGCAACCACCCCTTTTCTCTTCTTTTCGCCCTCCCGCTGACGAGCACTCAGCTCCGCCTCCTTCTCTACCCGCGCAGCCACATCACACAGCGCACTCTCGAGTTCGAGAGCCACTACTGTTGCTGTGTGTCGAAAACTCCGAATTTGTGAACTCGACATGGCGATGACCCATGCTTGTAATGTGGGAACAAGATCGCTTGTGTAGAGGGGGCCGAGGTCGGCAGCGGATGCAATGAGACGCTCCAAAAACTCGCGGAGAGATTTGCGAAATTTTTTGAAGAGGGGGAGTTTCGAGATAAGCGGGTAACTCGTGGTGGCGGGATCCTAGAGTTGTAAGCTACAGCAGTAGGACACGTTGAGCGAACACTTTACCTTCTTCAAATCCTCGGTAACGTCATCTAACGCGTCCACAACCCCATCATAGTCAACGGCCCGGTCTGCATCCATCGTGGCATTGCAGCCACAACATCGCAGGACCATATTGACGATTTCTGCCAACGCCAGACCGGGAGATTCCGTCAATGACTCGAGGAAGTCCTCGGAAGTGGACTGGAGGGCTGCTGCGGGGTTCAATATCGCGTCTATACCTTGTTAGCATTCCCGATAGTCAGCAACTCATAAAGCGCACTGAAAAGCGGGTTGTCCGTATTGATGTTGCTCTCCTTTGCGGCCTGCTTCGGATCGAACGCGTCGTCACCTGTAGTCTTGACCCTACGAGCCGTTTTCCGAGGGACCTTCTTGCCCTCCTTCTCCTTAACGGGCTTCCGCTTGGTCTTGCGTTTGGTGGCTTGATGCCCTTCTTCGTCTGCATCAGAGTCGGCTGCCACGGCGCGTTTACGTTTGCCGCTCTTGGTGGGTGGCGTTACATCTTGGTCGTCGTCGTCGTCGTCTGCCACGCGTTCATCAGCTCGCTGCCAATGCGACTCTAGTAGGGAAGTAAACATTACCTTGTGGTTGGGAGGGAATCACTTTTCGCTCGCGTTGGGACCGTCTAGGCGTCACCGCCGCGCTGCTCATCGCGTCGAGCTGAAAAGGAGAAGTGGTCACGCGTGTGATACACGGCGTTGATCAACAACCTTCAACAAACAAGTGGCACAATCGGCTCACCAAAAAAAGCTTTTGGGATTACCAGCGACAATGACCTCACTTATTTCACCCCACATATCTCGACTTGGGCATAAGTATGACTGACCAATCTAGAGTCATACATAAGGCCAATCAATAGCAAACGAGTGAATAATGAATACAGTATCGAAGGTGAGAGCATTGGATTGTCGTTTTTATCTGCCCTTCGTCAGTTTTATTATAACTCCCTTCAGCTTTGGTCACCCGGATCGATCATGAAAGAAAGAAAGAAAGAAAGAAAGAAAGTGTATTCGCCGCTTTGGGTCGTCACACAGGTTTGTGGTGCGGCTCGTTCAGTACAACTTGTTTACACGCATCGTACGCAGGCCAGCCTCCTGGTCAAGCTGCTGGAAGGAACCAATGCAGATCCTTGAACTGTTTCGCCCATAATGTATCGGAGTGGGTTGTTTTTATTTTCTCAAACGCCGCATGGAGATTGGGGTTCAAGGGGCAATTGTCAAATGTTGGCTTCTTTCCCCCCAGATTTTTCTCGTCGAATAATGACTGAACGTCGAAAATGACTGTGCTGACGAGAGGATCAAGCTGATCCGGGTCGAACGTCCGGAGATTGGGTTCTGGCGTTGAGTCCTCTTCCTCAGGGTTGTTGTTCTTTGGAGCAGGCGAACCCCACGCTGAGTTTTCGACAGGATCCAAATCATCAGCAGGGCTGGTCGACCTTGGCCGTTTAGAGCCAGTCATTCCCAGTCGATCATTGTCTTCATCGTCGGTTGGACCAGCATTCGCCATGTCGGTAGGACTTTTTCTGTGTCGTTTACGACCAAGAGCTGCGTCACGGTCCTCGGCATTGATATTAAGGGCCGGAAGCCGGGGCTCACTTCGGGTCGCCATCTTTGGTTGCTGCTTATTCGAGCGATACCGGGAATGTTTGACAACATCCGAGGGGTAATAACGGAGGGTCCAGAATACTCCGCAAATGACGAAGACAAACCAACCCTTTTCGGGAGGGGCAAAAAAGCGTTTTGCGAAGTGGAGTTGGTTTGCAACCTGTTGCAAACTATCCGTGATTTTACCCGCTACGAGGTCCAGATCTGGGTTGACGAACCAGTCACGGTTGCCCGCTCCACCTTCCATTGGCAGAGATTTGATCTCTGCCAAGAAAAGCAGCCGCGCCTTGAGTGTCCCATCTGTCAGAACAGTTGCGAAGTCAGGCGTGCAGCGTTTGCGCAGTTGCCCATCTTCTTCAAGGAAAGCATTCTTAAGAAAAGAGTATTGCTGCTCGCAGCGGATGGACGTGTCTGGGTGCAAAGAGTTGTCGCAGTAAGAGGCGGTGAAGGCGTCAAAGATGATGCGGCTGAGAGCATAGATATAGCACTCGAAGCTGCTGTGAAGATAGGCGTAGTAAGTTGCGCTAACAATGTCCATGCGGAACTTTTCGTAGTAGAGCACAATGGGCGGTCGTATCTTGTATGAAACGGTCAATTGACCCTCAGTTTCAGACTGCGATAGGAATATTAGTAAGTGCCACTATATGAGCAGGTGAAACGACTCCTACAAACGTATCGACGGCTTGTCCAGCTGGAGCGAGCTTTGAGTCATGGTCGGGATGGACGCTGGACATCAGTTAGGTTGAGGAAAACATAGCTCTAGTCCCCTTTTAACTGAGCATGCCTCGGAACAATGAACTTTCGAATCTGAACCCATGACTTATTATGGAAGGTGCAGCACAAGCGGAGAGCTATTCCAGGACACGGCGGGAAAAGCTGTGTCCCTTGCGTGACTCGGATGTGTCGACACTGTCCCTTTCCACTCCACATATGCTTTGTTGATACAAAGCACCTTAGATAATATTTTAATTGCTAATAACCATATTACATAAAAACCCAATCCTGCTTTATACTCGCTTTGCAAGTTTGGACACTTTTTGTTATTTGATGTGATCGCGTCACGGTCACGTAACGGTCACACTGCCAAGTCCGCGGCTTCGCTAGGCTCGGACCGAGAGCTGTCGACATAAGTAGGTGAAAGTGGAAACTATTATCACTTATCAATCTCCCCCCCCCATCTTCCTCTCAACCACCATGGCAAGCTCTAGTAATGCCCCAACCTATATGGAATTAGAACCAGATCCCAAAGAAAACAAGCAAGATTACAGAGTTTGCACCTGCATTTCTAAAGATTGCAGATCAAAAGTCTGGATGTCAGCTGATGGCTCTTTGCGCAGAGGACAGTGGTTCCACAGATCAACAGTTTCTAAGCACACAAAAGCAGATGAACAATATGAGGCTCAACAAAATCAGGTACTCTTTTAACTCATATATAAATAAGACTAACTTTGTTTTAGCAACATTCTCAGGCTCAGTCTGCTGTCCCACAGGCTCAGCCCACTGTACCACAGGCTCAGGCTACTGTACCACAGGCTCAGGCTACTGTACCCCAGGCTCAAGCCGAGTATGTGCAACCTGTTGCTCTGCAAATTGCACAAGGTGGCTCTACTGGTAAGCTTGTACTGAATGATTGCAGTATATAGCTGAATTTTTTTTTAGTATCTTCTAAGCAGAGAATTCAGTTTCTAGCAAGTTCTCTGGCTTCTTGGCTGCACCTTGTTTCTGGTGTTAGTAGGGAGACAAGTAGCCGTGTACTGAAAGTTCTCAACATTCTTATCCGCCTTACAGCTCAGGATAATACAGCATCACCTCAGCAATATAATATTCCAACAGATGTTCGAACTGCAATAGGTCATTTATCTATAGAGCCTACAATTGTCCGCAGTATCTGCTGTCCAAAATGCTTCCGTGCCTATTCAATACAGGATCTTCCTCAGACATGTCTTGCTCGGAATGGAAATACGACATGTTCTACACCTCTCTGGACAGAACGTCAAACACGTGGTGGACCAAAGATTGTCCCACGGCGCTTATATAGTACACAGAGCTTTTCAACATTTCTAGAACATTTTTTAGGTCGTCCTGGAATGGAAGAGCTTCTTAGCAAATCTGTTCATCATCAGCCAGATCCCTCTGGGCGTATGCACTCTATCTGGGATAGCCCAGCATGGAAGAGTCTTCCTAATGACTTTACATCCAAGCCACACAATCTTGTCTTTAGCTTTTATATAGATTGGTTCAACCCATTCCTGAACAAGATTGCAGGGAAGAAGGCCTCATGTGGTGCTATTATAGCAGTTTGTTTAAACTTGCCTTATGAGCTCTGGCACTTGACAGGCAATGCATACTTTGCTGGGATTACTCCACCACCTCATGAACCAACAGTTGACACTGTCAATGGTCTTATGGAGACACCTGTTAAGGAGTTTGTTGACATGTGGAAAGGAAAATGCTTACGAACATTCAATCATCCTGTTGAGGGCATCTACTATCGGGCAGCTGTACTCTGTGCCTTAGGAGACCTTCTAGCTCTTGCAAAGTTTTTAGGAGCTGCAGGGCTTGCTTCACTAAAGAATTTCTGTTTTCTGTGCAAGCTTCCTCGAAATGAGATTACTCGCACAGATTATCAAAGCTTTATTCTTAGAAAAGGTTCAGAGGCTCGTCTTGCAGCATATAAACATCTTCTAGCAAAAACTAAACGAGAACGGGAGCAGATAGTCCGTGATGAAGGTCATCGATTTTCAGCACTTCATTTTTTAGAATATCGTGACCCCATCAAACATACTACTCTAGGTATCATGCATGGATGGCTTGAAGGAGTTGTGCAACATCATTGCAGGTTGAAATGGGGAATTGGAAATTCTGTTCAAAATAAAGAAGTTACAGAAAATTCAGGAGAGGATGATGATATGATGGATATAGATGAAATAGATATTCAAGAAGAAATTGAAGGACTAGGCCTAGTTGAACTTTTTGCAGGCTCTTCACAGATCCCTCAAGGAGTATCTGAGACAGAGCAAGCTGAGACAGCATATATTCCTACAGAAGAAGGGGAGGAATCAGAAGAGGAAGAGGAGCAAAATGAGGAGGGGGTATATGAGAGTGAGAAACCTCCTCATACAATTTTCACCAAGGTAATATCTGATTTTATCTTTTATCTTTTATCTTTTATTTATATTTAATTTACTATACAGGATTTTGGAATGCCTAAATTTCATGAAGGTCTTGCAGGTGTGGTACTGCCATCCTATCTTGACCAAATTCCCCTTAATCTTGGAGAAAAAACACATGGGAAATTGAAGGCTGACAATTGGTTTGTTGCCATCACTATTGATTTCCCCTTGATTGTGCCAGAGATATTCAGCTGTGGTCTATCAGAACGCAGAATCTTTGATACAAAGCTTCTGGAGAACTTGACAGATCTGGTTGCTGCAACAAATCTTCTGTTCTCATATTCAGTCACTCCAGCTGAAGCTGACAAATTTATGGAATACTATGTGCACTATCTAGAAACATCTCAGGACCTCTTCCCAGGACTTAGTACCCGCCCTAATCATCATTTTGCACTTCATTATGGTGCTCAACTAAAATGGTGGGGTCCTCTTGTTCAACTTGCTGAGTTTCTGTATGAAACTCATAATGGGACCCTTCAAAAAATCAAGACTAATAATCACATGTGTATGTATTATCTTTCTTTAAAAAACTGTTCTAATAATAAATAGGGGAAATAGATCTCACTATGCTTCGCCAGATTTGTAGGCAAGGCCGATTAGTTGCAGCAATGCATGATAGCATCAAGATCAGCCAGTCTGACTCTAATTCAGCAGTTGCTGAGGCTATGGAGATCCTTGCCCCACAGCCAGCCAGCCTTGTTTCTTTTAGAGCCTCATAGCATTCCTGCTGAGGAGCAAAGTACTCACCGCCGTCAAGCTATTCAGCTTGAGAATACTCTCTATAATCTCTTGCTCAACTATCATAATACCCATTATAGTGGATCATTTATTTCACAGGCTGATTATGGGTTTGAGGCATTAGAAGCTGGTCTCAAAGCATTTCCTTCTAGGGCTTTACCACTCAAGACTTTTCATCATAAAAGTCGTGTCTTTTCTACGTACCAGAAGCATCATGGAAATAGCTCAATCTCATTCAACAACCCAGAGACAGGGCAGAAGGATTTTGCTTTTATTGAAGCAATATTTACAATGCTTCTACATGATAAGCTCTTCACATTCATCCTGGCTAAGCCTCACCAACCATTGTCTCCTGAAGATGAAGCCAAGACTCCTTATGCTTCTCATCCTGGTCTTGCATGCCTGTTAAGATATTCTTCACCACAGACCCCCTGCCCATTGGTGGTTATAGAACCACAGCATATCATTTCCCATCTGGCTTATTACCACCGTCCTGCAGGAACATTTGGAATTATGAAGGATTTCACAATATTTGTGGATTCCTTACATCGTGGCCGAATTTAACTTATAAGGTGATGTACATACTAGTAGTTGTCAAAATATTACTAGCAATAGTTTTTCTAAATGAAATTTCTCATATGTTATAAAATATTGAAAGAAATCATATATATATATACAGTTCACATTTCTTATTTTCACGCAGGAGCGTTCAACACACAGTATCATTTCCGCCTCTATCCTGGGCCCCAGTAGACCTACTCCATCGCAATCACCGCACCACAGTCGCGGGATGGCAGACGTTGATGATTAACACAGCGACGAGATGCTGCACCGGAATGGGGTCAGCGAGGATTCTGGTGCTCGCTGGGTCGCCTGGAACTACTGCTCGCCTGTTGGCAACCAACGGCGGAAGCGAGCCACAGGCCCACAGCAGGGCGGCCCTGGTCTTGGGCTCACCAGCGGCAGCTCAGCCGCTGTCGTGGAACAACCAGGGGCCACCATGCAACTAACCGTTGTTCGTCCACGCATCCTGCCAACCGCCACCGCCCGCCCATCGCTCGGATGATATTCGTCGGTGTCGGCCGGCTCTGCTTACGACCCGCATGTCCGTTAATGCCGTGACAGCGGGGACTTGGCGGTGGCTGGGCAGACTGTTTTTTGCGTAGAAGTCAGCGCACGCCGACCGTTGCTTCGCGGCGCACGTCAGTCGGGTTCTCCTGGTTGTCCGGCCTGGTTCCCGAGCTCCGCTGGGAGTAGAAATCCCGCCATATGCACCGCGGGGTCACCCGAAGCAGTCCGAGAGGGTGCCAGAAGGATTTGGTGCTCGCGGCACACGGCCACTTGACAACGGCCGGCGCCGCACCGATTTCGCATCCCGACGCAATCCATCCCCAATTGCTCCCCCAAGCAGATCCGCGAGGGTGAGGGCCGCTCGCCTAGTAGCGCCTCGACCGAAAGCACAACCCCCGCCGCGCTGGACACTGACACCCTGTTGCTCTCCAGCACTGAGTTTCGTGGCGCGCACAATGCTCGTTGTCAGCTGCAGTGCAGGATGTTGTCACGGATAAGACCCGGCCCGTCCGCTCCGGCGCTGGTGTCGGGCCATTGCGGGCCCGTAACACGCAGCCACGTGACAACGGGGAACATGCGCCCCAGTAGGAGGAACGCACACGTGGGAAGCACGTGACCGAGAACGACGTCGAGCCGTCGTCGCCGAGCCCAACTCGACACCAGGGGAATGGGGAGGAGTGCTAGGAGGTCAGGAGTAGCGCCTGGCCTGCAAGGGATGTGCGATCGTCCCCTCTGCGGCCAGGAACGGGGAGCGAGGAGGAGGAGGAGGGGCCAGGGTGTCCGATCACCCCCTTTGCGGGCCAGCGTATATAATGCGCGATAGTGTACCCTGTACTCTATCGCTTAGATCGTCTGAAGAACTACCTTACTCCGTGCGAGGAGACGCTATCGACTCATCGGGCCCGACACGACCCGATTCGAACCTTCGACCACCGACCACGGCAAGGGACCGAGTTCACGGGCCCTTTCGGTTTCGATCTACCCCCCGCCCGCCGTACTTGCGGGCCCGACTATCCGTCTGTTCTGTTCCGGGCGGCGCGTTCTTAGGAGAAGTCCTTGCACGGCCCGACCCGCAGTCTGACAGAATCTAAGCGATCCCCCTACACCCGCAACAGAATGGACACTACCACCGTCATCGCACTCCCGGCGTGGGCTACGATAGTGGCTATCGTCATCGCCTCCCTTGCCTACCTATATGGACGCACTCTCGAAGCCCAACCCGTGGTCTTCAACCGCGTCCTCTACGGAAGAAAGGAGCCCGCCCTGAAGTGGGGCACCCCTAGGCGGGTCTCCTTGGACGAACACCATCGGCACATGGAACACGCTTGCCCGGCCCACGGTGCCGGGCCCGCCAGCAGCGCCGATGCCTCAATAACTCCCCGCCCCCCCCCGCACGGCCGAACCCCGATCCGGATCGTCTCGGACCGCCCGGGCCACCGGCACACTCGGCCTGATGAAATGGGACGCACCTCCCTCCGCACGAAGGCCCTGGGGGCCGTTCTTATCTCTCTCGTAATCTGCTCTACTTAATCTGTGGCGGGGCCTCTGTCCCCTAATAATAAATCTCTTTCTTCACCCATCACACTGGCACAACGGACGAGCGCAAGACAAATCGATCGATTACAGACAGCAGAAAAAATACAAAAAAGGGGAAAATACGCAGACAAAAACACGATACGGTCCGAACCACCACGGGGGCGCCCTACGGGAGAGGGCCGACTTGACAAGGCGCGCGAACGATGACAGCAAACCAGAGGGCGGGGATACCCGAACGCCGAGGCCCGAGCAGACGGGGAATCCCGGCTGATGTCGCGAAGAACGACCAGCGAGTCGCCGAAGCCTAATCCAGGTCCATCATGTCGAAGCTCAGGCCGTCCTGACGGCACACGTTCGCATACACCTCTCGTTCAGCGGCCCGACGCTCTAAACCCTCCGGCGTTTCCCAGAATCCCGACCCTCTCCTTCGGACCGGTGGATAGCCAGAAGAATGGCGCCCAGATAGCGGCACATGTCGGCGACGCCCCGAGGCGGTCAAGGACTCCAGCGAGTTCACCAACCGGAGGTCTGCGTCCAGGGAACGATCGACGACAACTCCGCGAGTGCGCGGGTCCGAGCATCCGGGAAGCCCCCGTCGGCCGAATGAACCGCCGACTGTTGCAGCAACAGCACGCCCAACGGCGACAAGCGCTGATCGGCGGGTACCGACAGGTCCCCATGCAACCGGCGAGACTCGGCAATGGCCCGATCCAAGTCCCATCCCCTCCCGAACCACAGGGAGACTCGAGGGAACGAAGGCACCTGGAAACCCATGGTGGGATAAGAAGGAGGGTGGGTCTTACCCGCAGGAACGGATGGCCGGGACGATGCCTCTCCTAATGAGCGATCCGCGACAGGGGAGGCCGGCCGGCGGAAAGTGGGGCGAGGCCTCGGCGGGGGCCGACTTGACGATGGTGGGGGAGACGGCGAGCGGGTGCGAACTCGTTTCGCGGGGGACGGGGAGGAGTCCCGAGAAGACGCTGACGAAAGGACGACCGGGCGGCGACGACGGCCCGAAGAAGGCCCGACCGTCGGGGTCGGGCTCCGCCCGAACCGATCCTCGTTTGATCGGGGCAAATAGGAGAACAAGAAGGATCGGTACGGGACCGATGCGGACAGCCCGACTAGATCAGCGAAGCGGGGATCGGGACGTAGCAGCGCAAACTCGCCATCCTCGACTTGACGCTCCCAAAACTCGAAGGAAAAATCGTGCAGATCCGCGGAGCGAGCCTTGTACGCATCTGCAAAAGACCGCCAACGCAGACAGGCACGATGGAGCGGGCTGCACGCGTCACAAGCCCGACGCACGGGACCAGGGAGTTTCTGGGGAGAACTATCTGGGACGCCCCCACACGGTGCACAAACGATCATGAGCGATGCAATACTGCAGCGAGGGGAAAGGGATCGGATCACTGTTCCCGGTTGACGAGGGGCTCCCCTCGAAAAGCGCCAGCTGTCCAGTAGATTCAAGACGAGGGGCCAAGGGGGTGCCGAAATCCCGTTGCAACGGGGCAGGCGACACGGCTGGGGAGAAGGAAGGGTCGAGGGCATCCGTAGCCGACTCGTGTTCAGAGGCGTCGATCCCCACCGAAGACAAACGACGAGGGCCGGCGATCACCTCCACATCCGAATCCGAACCCGAGTCGGAAGGTAGGAAAAGCAGGGTCGAAACCGGCGGGGCACCATCCCGTTCCACGTCAACCTCCATCGAAGACGAAGACCGCGCCCGAACCACCGGAGTAGGGGAACGCTTCATAACCGGGGCCGTCGACTCGGAACCCTCCGGATCACTCCCGGGGCTCGGAAATTGATCATCCAACCAGGCCGCCAACGGGAGGAAGCTGAACGAAACACCCGCTTCCGCCTCATCCAACGAGGGGCCGCCCGAGAAGGCAAACTCCTCCCGAGGATCAGGCAAGGAAACCACCCGGATGAAGGACGACCACCGGTCGGCATGAAGGAACGGGCGGCACAAGAGATGGAGGGAGAGGACCCAGTAGTCGGGCCAGCGTATCGGGCCGAGCTACGTTCTCTTCGGGAAACACGCGAAAAGCGGCCACGTGGGCTAGGACGAGGAATCGGTCTGAGACGAAGGAGGGAGGCCGACGGAAGCGGCGCAAGACAAGGCGTGAAGGATGAGGCACTGAACGGAGCCAGTCAGCCACGGCCGAAAGCGCACAGAGAAGGAGACATACCACCCAACGCCACAGACGGGGAAAAACGAATCACTGGGCGAAGCAGCCGGCAGCGAGGAGGTGCGCAAGGAGGCCACGGCCCAGTTGTCCAAACAAAGGGCGAACATCCTGAAGAGAGCCGTCCTCGCGACGCCAGACGAAGGAGGAGGGGAACACATCGAATAGAACACCGAAATAGAGGTGATGGGGCCCGAAGACAAGCGGCTGCCACAGACCGGCCTTCATTAGGCGGTCGGTCGCACTGCCACAAGATTCGGCGGGAAGACGACGGCCGGGGGGCGCTGGGGGGACTGGGAGAGCGGGAGCTCGATGTGAACGGACTACGGGGGCCAACAGAGGGAGCAGCTTGGAGGAATAGTCGTCGGCTTGAGACGGGGGCAAGTCCTCCAACAGGCGCAGGGGCTCGAACGACTCCCGGCACGACGGGTCTCGCCCTTGCGCGATGGGCCAGGAAGCAGGAAACTTCGACGAGAGACATAGAGGCGAAGCGGACGAACAGACGACCCGGCTCTGAGGATGGGGGAACCATCTGAGAGCTGAGAGGGGGCAACAACCCGGAGCGGTACAAGTTGGGGGACGACATAAAGAGGATTAGAAGGGGAAGCCCCGGCTTATATGGGGGAACGAACGCGTTCTATATCGAACTTCGACCAGGCGCGCAGCACAGCCTACTCGCAAGCAATACGAACAAAGGACGCGCAACTGAATTGAAAAAGACCTACGCTATACCGCACGTGACCGCGGTGAAACACTTGATGGACAGGAAGGATTGATCTGCGGACGCCACGAGGCGTCAGAAGCCGCGGGAGATTAAAATGCGCAGCCGAAGCTTAGCTTAAGCTTATGGGCTGGATGGAATTTGCGATTGGAAGGACGAGCTAGAGTCAAAATTAAACCCGAGAAACCGGGGCGACCGAGCCACGCCGACTCGAGACGAGTCGTTCCTAGGGAGGGGGTGATGTCACGGATAAGACCCGGCCCGTCCGCTCCGGCGCTGGTGTCGGGCCATTGCGGGCCCGTAACACGCAGCACGTGACGACGGGGAACATGCGCCCCAGTAGGAGGAACGCACACGTGGGAAGCACGTGACCGAGAACGACGGCGTCGAGCCGTCGCCGAGCCCAACTTCGACACCAGGGGAATGGGGAGGAGTGCTAGGAGGTCAGGAGTAGCGCCTGGCCCGCAAGGGATGTGCGATCGTCCCCTCTGCGGCCAGGAACGGGAGCGAGGAGGAGGAGGAGGGGCCAGGGTGTCCGATCACCCCCTTTGCGGGCCCGCGTATATAATGCGCGATAGTGTACCCTGTACTCTATCGCTTAGATCGTCTGAAGAACTACCTTACTCCGTGCGAGGAGACGCTATCGACTCATCGGGCCCGACACGACCCGATTCGAACCTTCGACCACCGACCACGGCAAGGGACCGAGTTCACGGGCCCTTTCGGTTTCGATCTACCCCGCCCGCCGTACTTGCGGGCCCGACTATCCGTCTGTTCTGTTCCGGGCGCGCGTTCTTAGGAGAAGTCCTTGCACGGCCCGACCCGCAGTCTGACAGATGTGCCCACCCGCGTCGGTGCCAATCTGCGTGTCCGTTAAGGGCCTAAGGCCGCGACAGCGGGGACTTGGCGGTGAGAGCTCATTTTCGCCCGCACGCACTGGCAGAGGAATGCTGCGCGGCGCTAGACGGCGAGCAGGAACTTGAACGAGCGAAGATGGGATGACGGGGCGCCGGAACGGGGCCGCGAGGAGAAGCTTTGCGATGGCGTAGGTCGTGTGCATGGCGTTGTCGATGCTGACGACTGTGGCGCTCGAGTCGATGGAGACAGAGCACAAGTCCCGCCGCCGCCCGCCCGTTGATACTAATAGGCTCGGCGGCTATAGTCCTCTGAATGAGCAGTTTGCGCCTCATGTCGGTACAGAGGTACCACCTTAACCCGCGCGTTAGCTCACAGCTGTAGACCTGACAGTTCCTGCACCAATGGCGTTCTTGTCTGTCCTGTAGTTGGCACGCCGACGCTGTGGTCGCAACCCCCGATTGCTATGTGAAAAACGGCGGGCCCGGGCCTATACTGTCGCGCATGGCAGGCTAAAGTTAGCGGTGGGAGCAGCACTTCTGCATCTTTGCGTAGAAGTCACGGGAACGTGACTTTCACGCAAAAACGGTGTTAGTGACAGCGTGGCTTACCTGCTGCCCGTTTGACGATGTAGCCTCCTGCCGCACCTTTGTGGTAAGTTTCTTTGTCTCTCAATGCTCATATCCGGCTGAAACATTTGTCAGCTTATTCTTCTCTTTCATGGACCACCAGCACTACTACAACGACGGGCGTTGCACAGTCCCGATGGGCTGATGCTCCCGACCCAAACCAACCCTCCAATCAACCTCCTCCGCACTCCCAACCCGCCAACGCGTACTATTCATCACATCCATTCGAGTACCAAGGCCACTCATCGCAGTACTCTGAGTACACGGATGACTATGCGACGAACAACTCCCAGCAATTCAACTACCAGCACAACACATCCTACGGCTACGACTCATCTCAGCCACTGTACGACAATGGCCACATTAACTTCCCGCCAAATGTAGCCGATGCCATGGGTTCCAACCCCGATCTGGCCAACTGGATGGCAAACTTGCGCCTCGCTCACCAGAACGAACTCGACCGCCAGTATCAGCAACAACAAGGACTTTTCCACCAGCAGCAACAACAAGCTGAACAACTTTTCCAACAAATGAACCGGGAGTACATGCAGATGCAGGCCCAACGCGATGCAGCGTTCGCAGCTGTCAATGCCCAGGCACAGGCGCAAGCACAAGCGCAAGCACAGACACAGGCTTCTCCGTATGTAGTGCTGCATATTATCTTGCAAACTCTGACTGTTTTCTACTAGCTCCAGTGTACCAAAGGCCCCGGACATGTCATCGAGCAACACAACATCGTCGAGCCAAGCCAAGAAGAAGAAGAAATCAAAGGCCAAGGGGGCTCCACCGTGCGTACTATTTACCACTCAACAATCTCCTCCTCCTCAATGTCATCCTAGTGCTTCGACTCAACCACAAGCTGGTTCAAAGTCCTCAGAACCATCTTCGGCTGCAGCACCAGCTCCAGCTCCACCTCCGAAATCTTCGCACCAATCTACAATGGGAGCAACCTCATCTCATCCTTCCCAGTCTACAACGGGCTCTAGTACAGCTTCAGCAAAGCCCACTTCAAAGCCTAAACGTGTTCGCAAACCAGCAGAGCATCAAATTCTGAAGAAAGAGCTCGACAAGGAAACCGACCCATTCAAGGTATGGAATATGCTTCATCATATGCTTTCACTGAAACAATGAAGCGAGCCCTATATCTCCATATACGTTTCCTTTGGGGAAATTTGGAATCGACCTCTGCACCGGCTTCTGCGTCACCAGAAACTGTCGAAACCTTTAATCGTCGCTTTCGAGGATATTCTGTTAAGGATATGTCACGAATTGGTATGCACGGTGCCAAGAATTTCGTTGAGCCTGCTGATGTACGGGTGTGTATCCCATTTTATGCATTGATTGTAGCTGACAATCTTAGCTGGGAATTCTACCAGATCCTCAAAAAGTTCTCACAGCTTGGTGACACACCCAAGCTTGCCATCTGCGGTAACCTAGCACGTTTCGGCATTATCCAATGGGCCCCTGACTTTGAACAACCGGCTGACTCCTTGTACAACGCAACGATGCGTGTTGCTGCCATCGACACCTTGCGGCTCATGATCGCCAGTACTGCATACGACTTTCTCGACATCGGCGACACCTCAGCTATCAATGCGATCGAATTCATGAACAACTTATTCAACCACTTCGTCTTCCACTATATGCGCGAGAAGTGGGCCAAAGAAATACGAAATCCCGGTGCAAATAATGTCGAGGCTGATCGGAATACAGCATCTCATGCCCGTAACCGAGTATGGTTTCCATTTATCCTTATATTTCTTTTCTCACCTTTGCTCTCAGCGCTGTGAACGTCGAGTCAACTATGTTGAAGCTCCAGACTCCTGTGTCCCCGAAGGTGTCCAGATGCTATTTGAACCCAAGGCAACATCTGATGACGAATCTGGGCCCCGTGCCCTTCGCCGACCTGAACGGTCTATCGATGCTGACAATATCATACACGCAGTCGACGACCTAATCATCACAACCTTGGCAATGAATAACCAAACACAGGCAGCCAATAAATTGAGGCGTCGTGTTGTTCCTGAGCTATCAAAACGGGGTCCCTCTCGTTTTGCAACGGTCAGTTTTCCTGATTTCCTGCATTTTTTGCTAACAAAAGTATAGTTGCCAAAGAATATGCCCATTCAATACTACGACCCTACAGAATTCAACCGACTTCCACCTGGCATTCGTGCCAAGATCGCACCCAAACGGATTGTCGCTTTTCAGCCCGGCTCTGTGGACTTCTCAAAGCGGAGTGATACTGGCTCAATGACTATTGCAGAACTCACCCGCAAGTATGGCCCTACCGTGTTTGCCCAGTATGATGTTGTCGATGTTGGCCCATCATCTGGCGCGACACCTTCCAACGCAACACCCCCCAACGCGACACCTTCTAACGCAGCACCTTCCGATGCAGCGCCAGCAGCCACTGCAGCATCTGCACCTCCACCAGCCGAAACCACTTTAAGTGATGATGAGGGCGAGAGCGTGGGTAGTGATGATACCGAGGGTGGTGTCGAAGAGGAGGAGTCGGATGCTGGAAGTATCCAAGAATTTATCAGCGATGATGAAGATGAGGCGGGAAGTTCCGGGTATTCCGACGATGCAGAGGGAGAATTTGATAGTGAAGAGGTATAATTGATCGCGCTTTGTGTATTTTTGTCCGAATCTACAAGAACATGTATATTGCAGTATGCTAATAGACATAAAATATGTATTCAAAGCGCAGTGCAACAAGGGACACGCGAGGGATGGTGGCAACTTTTTGCCAAGGGAAATAACTTTGCCCGCCGTGGGAAGGCGTCGGAAGTTGGAACAACAAGGGGGTGCCCTATTCAGGAAGCACTAGAATTCACCGAAAGACATTGTGCTGGAAGCTTAAAGGTTCGTTCACGAATGTGACGGTTGTGACACCCATCAATATTAAGTATCATGCCCGTCCCCCACCACGGCACGCGTTCGTTTCCTCTTGGACCACAAGAAGTGAATCATCGTCGTCCACTGAATTTCGGCTTACACCGCGTCAGACATACAAGGCTGTCAAAGAACTCGATGCCTCAGGCTTTCAACTACCGGCACATTTCGACCGTGCTGGCCGTGTGGCTGACGTTCGTCTGGGTTGGCCTCTCGGCGAAGAGCAAGCGGAGAAAATCGTTGAATGGGCTGAAGAAAATGACTGGCAAAGTCTCGGTGTGGATGGCAAGGTGGACATATCGACCACTGTGCATTCTGTCGGGGGCCAGTTTGCACGCTCAGTGGGCTTTGTTGGCGGTGTGAAAGCTGTCTATGAACTGGGGAAACCCGGCTCCTACAAACCGGCAACCATACTTTGGGTGGACAAAAACTCGACAACGCCGGAAGACCGCTACACAGAGGAGCAGTGCCTGAAGATCGCGAAAAGACTTGGGTTTGAAGGGCTTCCTAAGTGGTATCTAGCCTTGAGCTGATCAGTGCGTTTCCCACTCTGCTCCTCTGCTACCCGTTGATAAGATAATAATATAGAGCCTGGCCGACTGTTTGAGCTGTACCTGTGGTGTTATCGCATTGCTATCCTGTTTTGTCTGTCCACTATCCTGCAATATAATTACTCTCAATTTGCACTGACGGTTTCTGCACTTTGCCACTCGTCAACTGGGCGTCACGCGACAAGTGACATGACGCGTCAAGGAACTTCAAGGAATCAGGATGTTCTTTTCTGTTCTTCCCTCTTGATTTGCCTCCGACAGTAGAGAACACAAACTCCCGACGTAAACTCGCCAAGCCCCTAAATCCTTGACTTGCTGCGCTTTGGGCTACGATACTTATTGTCTGATCTAGTTGGCTTCAAGTTTTCAAAGTCGCAAGTTTACTTCGGACTCAGGCTTTCGTTCGCAAATTCGTGACTGCATCTTGGGATTACTTTACACTCAAGACGTCTGCGTATTTCGCGGCTTGTTCCGTAGCGGGAATCATGACGAGGACGAGAAACAACTAAACATAAATCCAGTCGCTGGCTGGTGGTTTGTGGATGTCATATCTTGTGCTGGACCAGATGTCGATGAAAAAGGCAACTATGCCGATCCCGCGCAGCTCGACCTCATGCGCGAGAAGACCGTGCTGCGGTAATCCAGGGGTGCAGGCGACTCGTCTTGGGCGCCGGTGCGCTCGGGAATCCACCACGAGAGGTCGCAAGGCTATTCAGACGGGTCTTGCTTGGACGAGTGGGCAGAGGGGGAGAGTTTGCTGATTATTTTGACGAGATTGTTTTCGCCATCATGGGAGGGAGAATGGAAACGCTGACTGCGTTTCAAGAAGTTTTCAGTCTTTCGTGAGTGGTTCATATGGTAATTGGAGCAAGTATTCATCGAATTGCAGAAACTGATTCCGAGTCAGCCGTTTTTGATGCTGACGTGTTGACACATCTATTCTCTACGTGAAGCTCGCAGTACGGTTAATAGCACTGTCCTCTCTGACTTACTGCTTCGGTCAAACGACCATCTTGACGGATATCTTAGTATTGGCGTTGGGAGGCGGGAGCTTCTATGGCCTCAACCGAACCACAGGAGATGTATTTTGGTCCACGCCAATGAAGTCAAACATTCCCGGAACTCTGGCCCAATCGGAAGACGCGCAACCAGGAGAGCTGGCGTACATCGTTGACCCTCGAAGTGGAGATATTTATACTCGGACCCACGGAGCAACCGCATCTCAGCGCTTTCCTTTCTCCGTCCCTGAGCTGGTCGACATATCGCCTTTCATCGCTCAAGACGAAAAGAATTTGATTTGCAGTGGGAGGAAGCGGACATTTCTTCTTGTGGTGGATATCCGCACCGGAGTGGTTGAAGCGAATGCGTGTAATGGTTCTTCACCACTGGAGGATACCAAAGTCGTCTTGCAGCAAACGGGTGAGTACTTTCGGTATGGACACCAACCGACACTCACATATTAGACTATGATCTTGCTATCCACACCTTTTCGACTTGCTCTCTACAAGTACAACGACTTGGTCACACAATGTATAGCCCTGAATTTAAAACTGCTAATGCATCGGACGACGACACAGATGAGGTGATACGTATTGAAAGTCTGCCGGATGGTGCAGTGTTCGGGACCAAAAACGAGGCTTCTCTCTGGAGGACAGAATTCGGAAGCACAGCGTACGCATTTGCGGTTTTGTGGATTTGGTTCGTTGTTGATGGAATTCACAGGGTGGGGATTTTTGAAGTCTTGAAGACGCCGAATGGGGTGCTACTTGCCCGCTCTCAAGCGGGATACACTGATGTAAACCGTGCGGAGGCTGGTGATAAATAGCGGATTTCACTTGCTATCAATTGCTGGAGGAAGAAAACACTGACGTGTTCGGACACGATAGTCTTCATTGAAAGACCGAACAAGTCCCGAATCAAAGATGGGTTGTACTTGGGGCTGCCTATCAGTCTCGATGATTCTAGACGGTTTAAACCATGTCGCGGTAGGCCATACCAGTGCGAATGAGTTTGAGTACTTGGATAGGCATCATTTGGCGCTGATTGAAAACTTGAAGAATTGGTTGGTCCGAGCTTATGCTTAGCTGTCCAGACAGAGCTGCAGCGCTGGAAATGTGGAGGTTGACTGGAAGGCAACAGCGCCATGAAAGTTCTGATCAAGATTTTATTTACCTCTTTTGATTTCTGTCCTCCATCACCCATTTCGCTGCAGTCTATTTGCGCTGCTCCTACCATCCCAGGCTTGGCTTAATCGCCTCTTCCAGCTATCTGGAATGCCACAATGCCGACACTACTATCCCTCTTCCCGCTTTTATTCACACTCATCTTCGCATGTTGGGCGGAGGTCATAAACATCGGGGCTGCGGGTCGGTCTGGAGACGTTAAAGCCCTCTCACCCAGCTTCACCCCTCCAGTTGAAGCACCGGCCAGCGATCCTTTGGCCGAGTCCGACCTCCTCGACATCGTCCTCGTTGCTTCCGTCGATGGGAAGTTTCATGCCCTCAACCGCACCACTGGCCATTCTTTATGGTCAATGCCCTCATTTGCAACGACGGGCAGTGTCCCCCAGGCATCAACAATGGCCCCGTTGGTCCGCACGAGTCATCCCGACTACGACCCAGACCTCACGGACGACAGCATTTACCAGGAGACATACATTATTGAGCCCCAGTCGGGCGACATCTACGTTATGGCCACCCCCACGAGCTCCCTCCAGCGCTTCCCGCTCTCCATGTCCGAGCTGGTTGACCTGTCCCCGTTTAGCTTTGCGTCGCCCGACGACCACAGGGTCTTCGTGGGGAAGAAGGAGACATCCTTACTCGTGGTCGAGCTCGAGACGGGGAAAGTGAAGGCCACGATTAACTCGGAGTGTCCATGGGACCCGTTCGAGGACTTGCATAACGACGACGAGCTGGATTTAGATGAATTGGATGGGACAAAACCGCCGATGGAAAAGCCCACGGAAGTATATATTGGGCGCATTGGTGAGTTTCAACTTCTCATTTGTGCTATTTGCTTCAATATACCATAGATTATCATGTTTCTATCCATACGCGGCCGACTAGCAAGCATCGACCACCAGTGCAGAATTTGTCTTTCTCTACTTACGGGCCCAACAACCAAGACAACCTTCTTCAAGCGGCCTATCGAACAACTAAAGACGATGCTTACGTCCAAAGTCTTCCCAGCGGAGTAATCATCTCATTCAAGGCACGGGAGTCGAATTCCTTGCTGTGGATGAGCAAATTCGACAATCCAGTGTACGTTCCTGACCAGGTTCCGTGAGAGTAATTTTAATATTCTCTAGTGTTGCAATCTTCGATGTCCTTCGAACTCCTGCCCAGCGAGGGCCAAATACATTTGTTCTACTCCAGCCGCCGCCACAAATGTCTGCCATTTTACCGCAGCTTAAACAAGTCACCCACATCGACCAATTGCCCCATCTCAAGTCTGCCTACATCGGCTTGGTCACAGAGACAGGCAGCCTCTTTGCTATGAGCCCAGAGCGTTTTCCGTTGGTCATGTTTTCTGATAGCGCACGTGGTCAGAAACGCGTTCCTCAAATCGAGCCGGCGCATCCTTTTGACCCAAGAGAGCTACCAACGGAACTGGACAAAGTTACAGAAGCGCGCAAACAGCGAGAACGGGAAGATGCGTTGCGAAAATTGGATGACTCCGACGACCGCTGCATCGAGAGTTCTGCGTTATACTCGGACAGACGTTGTTTGGTGGGGATACGGGCTCTGGAAGGTGGCGATGGTGATGGCCCCGAAATGCGCTTGAAGCGGCTCATAGAAGGTGTGCCCGGGGTGGATTGGCAGTCAGAAGAGAAGCAATCCCACCAGGGCTTTGAGAATACCGTCGAGGGCACTGCGAATACTTCTAACTCAAGCAACCAATCTAGCACCAATGCAGTCGGCGCGATTCCGAATCGCGAAGTCATGGACGATGCGCTGCTGTGGAAGGGGATTACGCTCGGCTTGGTGATCGCCATTGCAACGATGAGTCTGTGGTTTGGCGTTGGCAGAATCCGGCGGCAATCGTTGATTAGGACGGCATCCATCCAAGAGGAAGAAGAACAGCATCTTATTGCGACAATGGAGACCGAGGAGAAGCTTCTCCGCCCAGCGACACCATTACCTACTCAACTACAACATATGACCCCGCCACCCTCGCCACAAGTTTTGACCGCTAAAAAGCTGCCGCCACTTCCCATTGACGCTAACAACGACGATGGAGACGACAGCGAGCGCGATGGCGAGGATAACGAACCTGGAGATGTACCACCGACCCCGGGCACGAAGCGTAAATCACGACGAGGGAACCGAGGCAAAGGGAAGAAAAATAAGAATGCAAACGGCATTTCTGCAGCAAATGGAACCGATATCAACCCAAAGACATCCCCACAACTTGGGGAGGAGAATGTGTTGCTGCCCAACGGAAATGGCGACTTGCCAACACCTGTCGGCCTTTCATTTACCACGACTTCATCTCCGTCGCTGCCGGTTGTAGAACCTTCATTAGTGGTTTCGGATACTGTCCTTGGTTTGTGGAAAAGCACGCTTATTTGCAAAACGACTGAAAAGTTATGACAGGATATGGCTCTCATGGCACCGTTGTCTACCGAGGGTCTCTCCAAGGACGAGCTGTTGCCGTCAAACGCCTTCTGCAAGATTTTGTCACCCTTGCGTCGCGCGAAGTCAGCATTCTACAGGAGTCCGACGACCACCCGAATGTCATCCGATATTACTACCAAGAGGCGCATTCGAACTTCTTGTACATTGCATTGGAGTTGTGTCCCGCATCGTTAGCGGACCTGGTTGAGACCCCCGATAGGGATGCCTGGCGAGACATCGCCATTGCCTTCGAGCCCAAGCGCGCGCTTCGACAAATAACCAGTGGCTTGAAGCATCTCCACGGGTTAAAGCTCGTGCATCGGGACATCAAACCACAAAATATTCTTGTCTCTGCTGGTACTGGACGGGGCGGCACCAAGGCCTATCGGATGCTCATATCCGACTTTGGTCTGTGTAAGAAATTAGACGTGGACCAGACGAGCTTTTTGCCCACAAATCACGGGACGATGGCGGCGGGGACGGTTGGGTGGAGGGCGCCGGAGATTCTGCGCGGAGATGTGAAGCTGGATGAGTTTGGGACCTCGACAGACGATTCGTCTGTTTCGTCTCAGGGCACTATCGGTTCTAATGGGTCCAACGCGACAACGGGGAAGCCGACACGGCTGACCAAGTCTGTCGACATTTTTGCGCTGGGATGTTTATTCTTTTATACTCTGACGAACGGCGGTCATCCATATGGCGACCGTTTCGAGCGCGAGGCGAACATCATGAAGGGGACCAAAAATCTTTCTGGGCTGGAGCGATTCGGGGAAGAGGGCGAGGAAGCTGTTGATCTAATAGGATCCATGCTACATCCTGAAGCGAGCGAGCGGTTTGTCCTTCCTTTTAATTTCAGGATTTGAAATGCTAATGGTACTTCAGACCCGATACGACGACAATATTGCTGCATCCTTTCTTCTGGGACCCAGCGAGGAGACTGACCTTCCTCCAAGATGCTTCAGACCGCTTCGAGATCATGTGTCGCGACCCGAAAGACTCGCATCTGCTTATCCTCGAACGTGGCGCGTTGGGTATTGTAGGTAATGACTGGCAATCCCGACTCGACCGACTCTTCCTTGAAAACTTGGGTAAATTCCGCAAATATGATGGTCGGTCGGTGCAAGATCTCTTACGGGCACTAAGGAACAAAGTAACTCCCTTTTGTTTTCTCGTATTCACTGGTAATTGACCGCCATTCGCCAGAAACACCACTACCAGGATCTGCCAGACAACGTGAAGCGGCATCTAGGGCCCATGCCGGAGGGGTTCCTGGCGTACTTCACCCGCCGCTTCCCGCGCCTGTTCCTGCACGTGCACGCGGTCATCGGGAACACCACGCTCCGCACCGAGTCGATGTTTAGGTCGTATTTCGACCTGAGCGATTCGTGACACGTGATTCGTGGTCTTGCAGCGCTTGTCGTCGTCGTTTTATTGTGTTGTTTATTCGCATGTGTACGCTCACCCCAATGTAAACCAGCCAGCATCTCTGAGGATCTCGTTACTTACTTTAGATATAGTATTTTTGTGTTGTATTAGTGTCTCTGGCTTTGTCTGCTTTCTCAATCACCATCCAACTAGTCAGATAAATTTAAAGGAACCCCATGGCTCGGCATGGTAATCCAGAGTAATCAGAGACTACATACGCTGACTTGCACGTCGTTAGAAATTGGGAGAAGAAGACGGAAGCGAGGACGCACTCAACGAAATCCAAGCTCAGATACTTGGGCGGTCCTTTGAATTCCAACCTGTCTGCGATCTTTTGGCACTGCTGCTCCGTATATCGGTCTTCGGGAATCGTCGAGTTGGTATCAATCCAAAACAGGGGGAGGGGTGTGTAAGAGTCCGGCTCCTCCAAAGCGTGGACGGCTTTCACGCCACCGACAATCCCCAACGTGTGAGCAAATTGTTCTCCGGCGTACTCCCAGCGGGATCAATAGCACCATCAACGCCTACTATTTTGTGTTGGTGTTTGGCGGCCCACTTTACAATTTTATTTTGCTGCTTTTCGCCGAGCGGCCAGCCCAAGCGAATGTCAGCGACGAGACCATCTCGGTCAAAATGTGCGGGTAGTTTGGGAGATTGGGATAGTTCTTTGACGGCTGTGTAAATCTATAACATGTGGGCTTGACTTTGATTAAACAGGGCACAAACCTCGACCTGTGCGAGGGGGAATGACCGCGTGCCTTTTGGTTCGTCCTCCGAGTTCATGCGTGACTGTAACGATTGTCACTGCTAGTTCTGCTGCCCGCGGGCCGAACCATGTCTTTGTTCTGCCACCTGTATTTGGTGCAATGAGCGTTGAGGCGAGGGTCAAGCAGTGTAACCTTGCCTCTCTTGACATGAGGTCGCACTGTTGAGTTGACATGCCAGTGATGCACGTGACGTACGCTTTTCTTGCCTCGACATGACCTCGTTGTCCGTGTTTTTTCGTTCCCCCTTCACGTTTTCAAATGTCCCCGCGCCTTCTAAACAGTACGCCCCAAGTCTTCACTGCAGAACTCAAAGAATCCATGTCAGACACAGACTCAGAGGCAGAGGACTACCGCCATGAGGTCAGGACTACTGATCCAAGGGCACCCGTCTCCAAGCTGACGCGCTGCGTAAGCTTTGTGCAGGTCTCCGAATATTAGAGCAAGCTGGTTTCGAGCTTCCCGCACGAGTGTCCCTGCCTTCCGGCCGAAAGCAGGACCTGAGGCTCGGCTGGGTGCTGGGTGAGAAGCAGGAGGCCATGATTGTGGAGTGGGCCACCAAGAACCACTGCGTATTGCGGGACAACGACGAGAACATCGACCGGTTCCGCACCGTGTATTTCTCTGGCGATCGCTATGCACGCTCGCTGGCCATCGAGGGCGGCGTTGCAAATGTTTATACGCCGCAAGGCGCGGAATCCTTGTTCTGGGTCGACACCAACTCGGTTATCCCGGAGGACCGCTACACGGCGCGCGAGTGCAAGCAGATCGCAAAGCTGCTCGGCTTCGAGGGGTTGCCGAAATGGTATCCGACGATGGCATATATCGAGTGCGCCGTCTTTTATGTCGTACACGTCGTCGATTTAACCAAACTTGAAGCGGTTAACGTCTTTTGTATCGACCGCTACTATCACATTACTGTCTCTTTTACTGTCTATAGCGATTACATATTTTGCCTCTACTTCCAAGAATTCTGCCGTCACGATAACGTGACGTGTGACTCACGCGTCCAACCAACCAGGGCCAATGATTCAAGGTAGGGCCGACGAGCGGCGTAGCACAAACTGATTGAAAGTAAATAAAAAGTGTTCTTTCTTTCATCATTGTAGTAGCAATTGAGTCCAAGATAGCAAATGTGGGTGTTTCCAGATTCTACATTATCCTCACAAGAGCTTAAGCTTGATTTTTAACTCAGAGTAATATTTCTTCAAAGTATTGAATCACACCAGGGCTTCTGCTAAAGATTGTTCCCAAAGTAGAACATAATTCTAATGTTTAACAGCTCTAATTGATCATCAAGAAAAGAACACTTAATCTGGTCAAGGAGAAATCAAGTTCTGAAAAAAAGAAAGAAAGTGTGAGTGATATGCCCTGATCTAACACGGTCGGCGGTCGCCAGCGGTCGTCGTCGCCTGTCGTCGGCGACTGTCGATGGCTGGTGACGGCTGGTGACGGTATGTCACGGTTGGCGACCTTCCATAACCAACCTGTCTTATGTACCAACACAATCATGACCAGTCTGCTGCAGTCGCTGACCTTCAATGACCTTTGCTGACCCTTGCTGACCTTCGGTGACCTTGCAGCCCACAGAAACAACCTCTTCTTGAAATCTCAGTATACTTTGCAGTCAACAGCAGTCGCCGACTTCCTCTGATGCTTGCGGCAAAACCAGATAGGCCGATCTTTCAAGACGGTCACCAACTTGGCCTGACTGCCCCCGACTTTCAATCTCCTGAGGTGTTTGAAATTCCACAACAGTGTGATTTTCACACCCTCTTGGTTGACGACGACCACATCGCTGACCATGGCTGACTCCTCTTCCAAACCCGCCATTGAACGGTTTGCCGGCACACCTGATGACTTCAAAAAGGGAGAGCTACAAGCAAAAATCTTGCGTTGGGCCTCTCGACCAAGAATGAGGCCGGGAAAGATTTGAAAGTTAAGGAGCTTCGACAGGAGCTTCGAAAGCACCTTGCTGCAAATGAGGCCCAACTCAAGGTGGATCCGCGCTTTTCCGGATTATACAACACGGCCAGTACAGGCAAAACCGGAATGAAGAGTACTCATAAAGCCATATTGGATGCGACTGAGGCCCTCAAGAAGAACAGTGTGCTTACCGGGTATGTGTCATACATGGAATGTTCTAACTCAATGTTCATTGCGACAACCTCAGAGTTAATAAAACACTGCAAGACCAGAAGATTCCGCTTGATCCCCCAGGACAAACAATGCGGCTCAAGACAACGACAAGTGGATCAAGCAAGAAAAAAAAACTGTTTCTTCCCAATGATGATGAGAAGTCGGAGTCGTCATCTTTGACTGAGCCGGGAGGAGACAATACAGAGGGAGAGGGAGGGGAGGGAGAGAATAGATTGGAGCAGGACTCGGAGCCTGATCTCCAAGGCAAAGATGGTACCAGTAAGCCGGCAATTCTATCCACGATTTACCAAAAATCTAATCGATTTCAGTTCTCCTCAACCTACATAAGTACCGGGATGAAAAGTCAGAGCCATACCAAGTTCCCGTCCAAGTTTCTATCCAAACGTCTCAATCAATGGACGGAACATCTATCTTCAAGGCATCTCTGGCAGAAGTAATTCCACATGTCGCAAACGGTGCATCACCCTTGAAAGGTCGGTAATTCTTTCTCTTAATCAACGATATTGATATCATTCAAGCAGACCGAACCGCCCGATTGTATCGTCCGGCAATGGGAGCAGCCTCCGAGCAGGTGTTGGTGGTACGATGGAGATCGGTGATGTCAACAATTTTCTGGGTCCTACCAAACCAAGCTACGCTCTGGCAGCAGCTGACACAGTCCCTCTACAAACAACTGAGGACGGAATGTATACAATGAAGTTATGGTACAAGCCTGTACGATTTCCCCCCCTTTATTGGTGCTGATGCTGACGTTAAATTTGCATAGACAATTGTCGAGCAGCAAGCAGTGGTCCAAACCATAGGAGTACTACCACCACCTCTACCCCAGCCGATTACTGCTTCACCAACTACCTCATTGAAGCTCCAAATTCAACCACTCCATACTCGTATCACTGAAAAGACGACTCGATCTACGCTTCTCATGCTATTGATCGGAAAAACAGCACCGACTCGGATGGGCTCTGACTTGGTCAAGAATAAGACTGGAGAGCAGCTTATGAAGATGGGGAAAGAGGTCGCTGATTATATTGAGAACTATATGGTATTTTCTATCTCAGATGACCTTGCCGATACGCAAGGCTTTGTCATTCCACATGGTTTGTTTCTCTCTCAAGTTTTTTTTGGATATAACTAAGAAACATAATTAGACTGGGCGCCGACCGACGAAATTAGGGAGTTACTCGACAACCACTTTCCTGCCTGGCAAAGCTTCACAGGCAGCTCCTTCACATTGCAGGATGCGATCGAGGCTGGCGGCTGGGGAGCAATGGTGGGGAAAGGTGCAAGACTGGCTTACCTTCGAGCATCCAAGCTGAACGGCCCGATTGGTGACTGGGTTCGAGATGGGGCAACGAAGGCTTCGAAAGGTGGAGATAAGTGGGCTGTGTTTGCCAGTGGAGAGTTGGGGAGACAGGTGCAAATTCTCTGGCTTGAGCAGAATGCTTCGGATCCCAGTGATGAGCTTAGAAATGGAGCACATCTAAAAACTGATAAAAGGGGCTAAATAATTTATTTTAATGCTCCAAATACTTGAGAACATTCCATAATTTCCAGAAGGCTAATTCTATTATTATATTCGTCTAGGCATGTCTAGAGACCTAGAAACATCTAGAAAGGCCAGGAACATCAGTTCTGGACCGCTCTAGTAGCACAGCCACAGAACTCCGGCCTAGGTCTGAGCCAGAACAAGGGTAATCTGTGAGAATGAATTCTAAATTGTGGGTGTAGAACATCCTAATATAGAAGTTTGATTTGGTAGAATATTCTAGAATGCACAGCCACAATGACTCCAACTGAGTCATACTGACTCCAAATGAGTCAGAATGCTTCTTTGTCACATCATTGGTTTAATTGTCACATCATTAGTTATTTTTCTAAACAGTATATAAGGAGCTCAATTGTAGTAGATAGAATAATAGTGAGCACCCCAGGAGACCACTAGTTGTGACACCACCACTGTCACATTAGTTAGTTTTGCTGTGGTATCAAATTGATCTTCCCAGAGGATTACTGAGGGTGACACCACAACTGTCACAACCGGTAGTTTTGCTGAGGATTCCAACTGTTAGTAAACTCTGAGTGATCCTGTGTATAGTAAGACACAGATATAGTGAACTTGTGCATAGTAAGGCACATCCAGTGAATTTGTGTATAGTAAGACACAACCATAGTAAACCCTGTGCATAGTAAGGCACAACCATAGTAAGCCCCAAGTAGATTGGCTATAGTAACAGTCAATTTACTTACCTGGTAGTTGAGTATTGGTACTCTTCTGCTAAAATCCTCAACAAACTTCAAACCTTTTGTTGTTCTTTGTTCATCCTTGAAAGTTCTCTTTAATTACAACACTCAACCTTTAAGTTCCACCAGTAGCACATCTGAATCAGTTAGTCGTTTCCTGCGGCTCGAACCCCGAACACAAACACATACATATTTTGGATTTGATTTAGTTGGTTAGATTTGATATTTAGCTACCTAGCTCATTTCCTCCGTGTATTATCTGGAGCCCACCGAGGGGTTCATTTAGATATTTACTGGAAACTTAATATTTTCTTGTTGTATTCAATTGAAACTTTCTAACTTCTGAGTGTCTGCTCAGAAGTGACAGTATACCACGGCTCAGTCAAGCACTGGTGAGCCATCAACACCCCGTGTAACAAGATCAAACAATACACAACTTCTCGGAGAGCTTTCTATTACTCCAAATCGCAGGCGTCCTAGGGGTAAAAGGAACAAAGGAAAGAATAAGGCTTCAACACCTGCAGAAGTAGCTCGTGAACAAGGTCAAGCTCAAACAGAAGAAAGAGCTAGTGCTTGGGCAACAGTTGCATCAGCTTTATCTTCAAGACAGTTGGGACAGCGTCCACCTGAAACACCTCAAACTCAAGAAGTTGATCTTGAACTAGTTGAGGAGGATACTGATCCAGAAGTTATTCCAGGAACACCAGGAAATATAACTAGTGATTCCCCTAGTATATTTTTCAGTGCTCCTAAGATTCAAAGATCATACTCTGCATCTTTTCTCCCTAGGTTTCAAGGTCTTGATTCAATACCTTTTCCATATTTAGGTTCATCTATTGGTTCATCATCTTCAGAGGATCCAAAACCTGAGCCTCAAACCAAGTCTGAACCACAGAGTCCAGTTATTTCTATATTTCAAGTACCACCTCCACCTCCACCTCCACCACCTCCACCACCACCTCCTCTAGTACCACCAAAGATGTCTGCAGCAGCAGCATTTAAGATTCCTGAAAATTGGGATAAAAATGCACCCAGTTTTACTACAGAAGATCCTGATGATTTGCAAGAATACATTGACCAAATCAAAAGAATCATTGATAAGGGTGCAATTCCTGCAAATGAACAAAAAGGGATATTGACTCGATATTTGCCTCAGAAGAGACGTGCTATTTGGCAAAGACTGTCAACATTTAAGGACACCACCAAGAGCTTTAATGAATTTGTTGAAGAAGTCAAGTCTTGTTATCCTGAGCTTGAAGAAATCAGACTAGGTAAATTGTCTGAATTGGAAAAGCTCTGCTCTTCAAACCAAGGCATATCAGTTGCTGAAGAAGGAAAACTCAAAAGATTTGGTCTTGAATTTCTGGATCTTGCAGAAAAGTTAATGACAGCTCCAGCCATTCTACTGAACAAGGATGCCTGTGTCAAGTACTTAAGTACACTTGAAGCCTCATTTGCAATGAACTTACAAATGAGTATCAGTAC